CGCCGTCCTGCATATCGTCGGTCTCGTGCATGCGGTATTCCAAGTACGCGTCGACGAGGTCTTCATACTGCATTCTCCACTCGGAGTTGCGGGTCTCAACGCGCCGGGTTCGGTCCCGGTCATCCAGACGTCGGCTTTGTAGGACTTGTCAGCAGGCACGACGAAGACATGACATGAATACTCACATGCCAGTTAACTGGGCCAAATCATTCGCGAAATCTTCGAAGACCTCATACTCACCTCCTTCATGGCTTAGACCGTACCCCTCTTCTCCCGGCGGCATACTATTCAGCGCCTGATCACTGAGATCAGGCGCCGCCTCCAGATCACCATCCATCTGCATCACGATGTCGCGTTCCTCCATCGACATGCCTGTAAACCGAGCGCCATCGACTTGCACAAAAGAAGTTAAGTGTAATAGTAGCATACCTTGAAGAGCCTCTGACCGGTCTTTTGCCATCCTGGCCTTACGCTCATTCTGCTTTGATGCATGTAAGAGCGTCTGCGTACGTCTCTTACCAGACTGCATTATCACAGCTTTCGACACCCCACCATATTTCGTCACCTTCCCGCCTACCATTCCTCTACCAGTCCTAGCGTCAAAGCCCAGATATGCCGAGCTCGAGTCAATAAGGTGAATCACAAGCAGATCGAGTAGAAATACAAGCACGTATCATAGAGCAGATGAGAGCGACAATGGACGTGGTCCGAACACCACGTGCCGGACCGTCCGGCAGTGGGTTCGAAGATCTAACGACGGATCTAGGACGGGACGGCGGGCGTTCTTATATAGATCTGTGTCGTTGCTGGCGTCGCCGGAGTTCGCTGGAGTCAAGGGCTGGAGTGTACTGGAGTGCCTCGACGGGACAGACGCAAGTCCAACATCGAGAGCAGCGCTTCCGGTGGAGTCGACCTGAAAGGCCTTTAAGTCTCATAATACTGGATGGTACGATCAACCGTCCACTCTTATAATACTGCTATTGTGGGAAGGCCAGGTGCTGGGTCCTCAAGCCAGGAAGTAGCTTGGCTCTATAGGATTCTAGTCCTAGAAGGCTCTAGGATTCTAGTCATAGAGGAGTTCTAATGTTGGGTACAGGAACGACTGCGAATATGGTGCGACTGCGAGATGGTGCCCAAAGACTAATGGGTCAGGATCCTACCATTAAAGGCAACCCCTTCGCGTTACTCCCGGCCGCGGTAGGTAGCTTTACTGCGCCCCCGTGCAAACATGTACAAAGATACCATATCGAGAAGAAAGTCATGTGACGCCGGCAAACGCGGACTTCCCTCCGGGCGCATGTCCGACTAGTTAGAGTAACCACTAGGGACTAAGTGGCTCGTATAGATAGGAAAACAGAATTTTGTATTCAAATTTGTAGACCTGTGATACATATAGTTGACAAAGGTACTACAGAAAGGCAATAGTGCATAAAGGTAGTTGATAAACCCTAACCCTACCAAGGAGGAGAAAAAGTTTGCACAACCATGAATTGAACCGAACACCTCCGGCAAATGCGGACACCATTCTAACCACTAGACTACAGGAGCACAATGGTGTTCGGAAATAATATAAATATGTTAGCTCAGGCATAGCCAGCTTACGCAATGCGTTTACATTCTTTATTTTTAGTGACGTGGCCGGAAGCGTCGGAGGTCACATGATAAAATTTTCGAAAAGGTAATATTTGGTCATGTTTGCACGGGGGCGCAATAGCAAAGACGCCGGAAGCGTCGGAGGTCACATGATAAAATTCTCGAAAAGGTAATATTTGGTCATGTTTGCACGGGGGCGCAATAGCAAAGACGGGCCGCGGTTTGCCTCGCTTTCAAGTTCCCTGCCCTCCACTGCGCAGATGTACCAACCACCCGTCGCTCGAAGGCCTACCGAAGGACGAAATAGCTTCTGTCGCTGTCAGCCGCGATGGATACCTGCGAAGGACGACAGGCGTGGTCGGGCTTGCGCATTTGGCTTACGGGCTGTACGCCGTCGTTGTTTGTGATCGTCATGACGTCCGGGCCTGCCTCATATGCTTGCATTTCGCTCACAGTCAGCTTGCGTCACCTCGGTGGTGCAGGCATACAGCGTCTCTCTGCGCGCCACATGTATGCGCTTTCGTCGTAAACAAATCCGCAAGCTCAAAGGCTCGCGGCCAAGCTTGGGTCCCTGATGCTCTCGAAACGTTGGCGCTCCCTTGCACCGACTGCTTTGACTTGCTCACGGCTGTTTCTGCTTGCTGGACTACGAATATGTACGTGGTGTTCTGTCCGTCGCCCACGCGAAGAAGTAGTGGACATCGATTCGGACGCCGACGTGCTTGCTACACTTTTCGACGAGGGCGACACACTTACTGTCGCAGAATAAGACTCGCGGCACATGACGCATATATGCAAGACTGAACCGGGCTTCTGCTTGCTCTCGTACAAGACGGGAGGACCTAGATAGGCGGCGCTCACAGTCTCCCCCGGAAACGTAAATATACTGGGTGCCCCGGGCCCGTGGTTTGGCTAGCGCTTAGTCGTCGAAGAAGCTCGTATAGGCGCGCATTTCCTCGGCGGTCCTGTCCTCTGATAGCTTTCTAGGGATGCAGCGCCTGCACAGAGTCATGGTGCGCACCCCCCCCCTTCCCCGCCCACATCGCACGGAAAAAGCAAACGACAGAGTCCTCAGTACGTCTTCCTTTGCTCAGCGGCCGGCGCGCCCATTCCCACAAGTCTCTCTGCTGGCCCATTCCTTCCGCCGTCGCAGGTCGCAGAGGGCATCTTTCATGACCCCATGGTACTGCCTCGGGCACTGACGAAATCTGAATACGTTTTGGTTCGCCCGAACGATTTTTGCGAGGACCGTATGTGCGTAATTCATGACGCATTCCCTTATCTTCTTGCACGCATTAGTGGTGTAGCGGTAACATTGGGTCTTCCCATTACGTAATGCATATACGTAATCATTGGCCTAGCTCCGGGTTCGACTCCCGGCTGATGCACTCCGAATGGCTGCATAATTTTTTTGATTTGGACGCTTTCCCATGCCTTTTCCCGTATTTTCAGAGTTTGGTCTGTGACATGTAGTTAGGATAGGTATGTGACTCAGCCCTGACTCTACGGTGGTACAGACTCATGTCTTCAGGAGCTCGAAGACTTCTCACTCTCGGATTGCTCTCCGAGATGATTTGCATCGCCACAGAGCCGACGATCGACCACAGCCTGTCAAGCACTAGCACCTGAGGCCTGTACTCAAATAGAGGGCCGATGGTCTCTGCCCCATATAGCGTCCCGCCTTGACCCCCCCACGCAGCGGTCTAATACACTGCGCGCTAGCGACTGACCCCTTGTGCCCAATTCATGCCCCCGTCGTCCCGCCAAGTCGGCCACGAGTCCCCTGCCCTGCCCATAGGCTGGCACCTGGGGCGGTTACTGACGAAGCTCGCAGCGAGTCGGTCTGGTTACGTGCTGACAGCCAAGGACGCTGCGCCGCCGTCGTTGTGGACCGAGCTCTCGGAGTTCGGCGTGTTCATCGAGCTCGCGTACAACGCGATCCCCGTCGAGATGGTCTGCGCAAGCGTGGACGTGCTCACGCAGCCGCATTACCCGCTTCAGGGTGCGCTTTTCCTCCGGGATTTGAAGTTGTTGGAGTCGTTCGGGGGCGCGGCTTGCGTGCCCGCGTTCACGGCGTACCGGCCGGCCCAGCGCCAGGTCGTCCTGGCCATCTCGGGGGCGCAGAGCGTCCGGCATATGTGGCACTTTCTGCAGATGACCAAGTGCGCGCACCCTGCGGGGGACGGATGCCAAGTCCATTCCGGGCTGTGGAGCTTTTACCAGCTCTTCAAGGATCATGCCGTGAGCGCCGTGCGCAGCGCGTTGAAAGGGGAAGCTGGCAAAGTCGAGGAATTGGTCATTGTGGGCCATAGCATGGGAGGGGCCCTAGGCTACCTTCTGGCTCTGGACCTCTTGGGGAACGACGCGTTGCTGCCCTCGGGACTCACGCTCAAGCTCGCGTTCTTCGGTACCGCCCGCGTGGGCAACGAAGAGCTCTGCAGCCTGTGGCGACAACGCGTGCGCTCGTACCGGGAAAAGAATGGGGAAAACTCCTTGGATGACTACAGCGTTAAAATCAATAACGACGGTCAGTCGTGGCTTCAGTATCTCGGAGACAGCATCCAGTATGTACTGAATGTTAACCCCCATAGTCACCCCATCACTTCCGCTGTATAGGTGGGGATATCGAACGTTCTCCGACACGCCCCTCTATTCCCACGGACGGCGCCTATTTCACATCCCGTACTCCGAGCGGGAGCACAGCATCTTCGAAGTGTCGATGGATAGCCAAGAGAGCGAACAGCTCACTGCATTCCCGGATGGGGGGCATACGTACTATAATGATCGGGACATGGTTGTCTCCGTCAATAGGCTTGCATGGCTTGGGAAAAATATGGAAAAGACGCCTGGCTGGCGCGAGCAGTATAGGAAAATGGTCATTTCTCAAGGCGAAGCATGGGAAGAGGGCTAGGTTGTCACCTCGAAATCAACTCAATTTGTACAGTTACAGGACCGTTGTGTGTATGAAACGCCCGAGCAAAGAAATGCGCCGACATGCAAGTCCCATAAAAGTCGTAGATTCGAGACGTCTGAGTACGATGCTTAAGCGCCTTTGAGTGTCTGCCTCTAGGACGCAAAGCCAGCGACAATCCCGTCGTAAGCGGGCTTCTTGTTGAAGTTCTGTAAAGAGTCAAGTGGAATTAGCACTAGCAGAGGCTCATTCGCCTCGGCACGCACCTCGTCCCAAGGCAAAGCCGCTCCCTGGCCGGAGAAAGTGGCCGGAACCCAGGAGTACTACACGCCTCTCAGCGAAATTGCCAGGTGCCTAGTCCAAAACGCACCTTGTCGGTGTAATCCCAGATTGTAACTCCAATGCATCCCGAGATAGCGTTGCATGTCGAGATGACCCTCTGATAATCCTCCTTTTGCTGAGCGAGATCTGCATCCGTCGCCGGCAGCGTCATGCGTAGGTCGAGTTCCGTGATAGCGACCTCCACTCCGAGCGCAGTGAACTGCTTGATATTATCCCCTAGAGTGGACGGGACCTGGCCGACTATGAGGTGCGCTTGCATGCCGATACCGTCGATGGGCACGCTCGCTGCTTTGAGGCTCTTGACGAGGTTGACCATCCCAGTCGACTTTGGGCCTGCGCAAATTAGCATGGCTGGAATGAAAGAATCTTCGTGTGATTTACCTGTTCCCTCAATGCCGTAGTCATTAATGTAGAGTTTCGCATCGGGATCGGCTGCTTTAGCCGCCCTTAAAGCGATGGAAATGTATTCCTCGCCCAGGGTGTCGTAGAATACGTCTGAGCGCAAGGTTCCGTCATCGTTCAAGGGCTCTATCAAGTTCGTAGTCAGAGACTTTCATTGTGACAAGAGCAAAGAAATTACCGTTCACAACATCCCAACTGTCTAATCAACCATTTTGTCAGCTTTATCGCGGTTAAAAGAGTTAAGTATTGAGATACAAACAGCTATTGCTCGATCGTCAGCTTCGGGCAGAGGTAACAAGCCGTCGTGTGCTCACATTTGTCCCTGGTAACGTCCCACGACCGTCCCGCAGTGAGTCGTAATGATAGACGATAAAGTATCGGCGCTGAAGTTCCCCGATGTCACCCAGCTGGGGAGCTGGTTGTGCCAGACGCAGTTGTGGCCTACAGAGCAGTACAGCAGATGAGCGCTTGTAGCTATTGGCGCCTGGTGGGGCTTGAGATATACCTCGTAGTAATTGCCCGTTCGCCTTAGCGAGATTAACAATCTGATCGCCTTGCGTAAAGGTGAAGTTTCCCCTGGACGGTTCGGTTGCGTCCTGTAGCGAACGCAGTCAGGCTTATACGAAAATGCAACGACTGACTCTTATAGCCTCGCCCATTTCAAACTATTCCCGGGTGTGATTTGCCCGAACATGTTGCTGTCCGAGAGGATCTCGACGTAGGTGGAATCCGTCAATTCATGATTGTCAGTTGCACTACCAAAATACTTCTTTCCTGCCGCCTTGGCCGCGACGTTCAGAGGGGTCGTGGAAGTAGCGCTAGGGCTGCTGGCCCCTGAGGTAGCGGTAGCAGTAGCGCTGCTCGTCTGCGCTAAGGCGTGAGGGACGACGCAAAGAATGGCGACAAGAGCCTTGAATGACATGCTGCACCACGAGCCCGAGTTGCGCGGTTGCAGACCATTCCTCGGCTTGCTTCGTCTTTTATGTTCTCGAGCGTGAGAGGCGCAACAGCTATGATTCGAAGAGACTCGCCACTTCTATGACCGTTGCTATCCAATAACGCCCGGCGGCCCGGGCTCCAAGGAGCAGGTGAACGGGGCGCGGCCCATCGGATCGTAGAACGAAGACGTTCAGAGAGTCAATGATAGCAAAGAATCCCGACTTTGAAGAGTGGATCTGCTGCTGGTCCATGGCCATTGGTAGGTACATTCGTCCGGATCTAAGGCTAATGCGAAGCCTTGCCAAGCGGGCTTGAGCACCGTCCGGTCTATGGTCAGTTGCCAGCCTCGCACAAGCCAGACAAGAACTGGAAGTTCGGTTTGATCAAGAACTTAGAGAAGCATTCCTCCTCTGAACCCTCTTGTCTGTGACTGTTGCGTCACATTGGTGGATGATAGCATGTCCTGTAATGCGCGAGCTAGAGATAATGGTTATGACGTCGACATAGTTCGCGTAGCTGCAGGCCTGAGGCTATCCAGCTGGCATCCGCGACTCGTAGGGACGCGTCTTTCTCTCTTCTGCGTTCGGGTTCGTTGAGAGCAGTTGGTATAGAGCTCACATAAAACAGATCCAAGGTCTAAGTCCTATCGCGGGCATGCCTCGAGCACATTTTATACCCGAGGTATCCGAGTGATGACACGCCGTTCAGGAGCACCAAGGTCAAAAGCGCACGCACCACTGTTATCAGCAGTAGAAAGGCTGCGCATGGACAGATGCGTACCTCGACGTGCATTACGACATATACATTGACACGGATGATCTTACCTCTATCTGGCTTATGACATCGCGGCTCTCAAGAGGGGTAGCACGGAAGCAGTGCTCACTGCGCTCAGGCTCACGGAAGAGCGCCATTATAGATCTTCACTCGAGTGAAATATATATATCATAGTTTCGCTGCTCCCACGGACATAAATGACATCCCGAAATCTGAGCGGGAGCACGGCTTCTTCGATGATAGCCAAGAGAACGAACAACTCGCTGCATTCCCGGATGGCGGGCATACATACTACAATGATCGGGTACGCTCGTCTCCGTCAATAGGCGTGCATGACTTGGGGAAAGTATGGACAAGAGCGCGCGAAGCATGGGAAGAGAACTAGGCCGTCACCTCGAAATCAAGTTAATTCGCACAGGCATATGGCCGTTGCGTGTATGAGATACTCTCATAAAGTCGCAGATTTTAGACGCTTGAGTCCGATGATTTAGAGACTTACTGTCCGTATCGGTCTGCCTCTAGGACGCAAAGCCAGCGACAATCCCATCGTAAGCGGGCTTCTTGTTGAGGTTCTATTGAAGCCGAATCAGGATCAGCACCAATGTAAGCCTATTCCCTCTACACGTACCGCATCCCAAGGCAAGGCTGCCCCCTGGCCGGAGAAAGTACTCGGAACCCAAGAATACTAGACGTCTTTCAGCATACTTCCCGGATACCTAGCGAATCACCGTACCTTGTCGGTATAATCCCAGATCGTAACTCCAATGCATCCTGAGACAGCCCTGCACGCCGCAATGACCGTCTGGTAATCCTTCTTCTGCTGAGCGAGGAGCGCATCCGTCGCCGGCAGCGTCATGCGAATGTCGAGCTCCGTGATGGCGACCTCCACCCCGAGCGCGGTAAATTGCCTGAGGTTAGCCTCGAGTGTGGACGGCACCTGGCCGACGATGAGATGCGCTTGCACGCCAATACCGTCGATGGGCACGTTCGCTGCCTTGAGGCTCTTGACGAGGTTGACCATCGCGGTGGACTTGGCACCTGCACAAGTTAGCGTATTGGAATGAATGTGAACGGGGGGGGGGGGATTTACCTGTTCCCTCGATGTTGTAGTCGTTGATGTACAGCTTCGCGTTGGGGTCGGCAGCCCGCGCGGCATTCAAAGCGATAGAAATGTAATCCTGACCCAGAGTGTTGTAGAAAACGTCTTGGCGGAAAGTCCCGTCATCATTGAAGGGCTCTGCAAGATTCGTAGTCAGTTGCTACCATTACTACAAGAGATGGAAAAGCTACCGTTCACAACATCCCAGCTGTCTAAATAATCGTGTTCGTCAGATTTATCATGGATACGGGTTCATTTGAGGCACATACAGCTATTGTTCGATGGTCAGCATTGGACGAAGGGAGTAAGCCGTCACCTACTCACATTTGTCCCTTGTAATGTCCGACAACCGTCCCGCAGTGGGTCGTGATGATCGACGACAGAGTAGCGGCGTTGAAGTTCCCCGACGTCACCCAGCTGGGAAGCTGGTTGTGCCAAACACAGTTATGGCCTACGGAGAAATGTCACGAATCAGTCGCTATGAGTATTGGTGTCCTGTCGAGTATAATTACCTCGTAGTAATTGCCCGTTCGCCTTAGCGAGGTTCGCGATTTGATCACCCTGGGTAAAAGTAAAAGTTCCCCTGGAAGGTTCCGTGGCATCCTGAAACGGATGCATTCAGGTTATATAGAGGGCGTAAATGACATGACGCGGCCTCACCCATTTCATACTGTTCCCGGGTGTGATTTGCCCGAACATGGTGCTGTCCGAGAGGATCTTGACGTAGGCGGAATCCGACAATTCAGGATTGTCGGTCGCGCTACCGAAGTACTTCTTTCCCGCCGCCTTCGCTGCGGTGTTGAGAGGAGTTGTCGAAGTCGCGCTGGGGCTGCTGCCACCCGAGGTACTGGTCACGGTGCCACTGCCTGTGCCTGTGCCTGTCTGTGCAAGAGTCGGACATATGAGACAATTCGGTCAACGTGGATGCATACCGGCAGGCACTGAGAATAGTATGAATTCTGAGCGACACATGAGTACCCAGCGACGCAGGTGGTTCCACCCGTCCATCCCTGACCGCCACCTACAGCAGTGTAACAAGTCAATCAACAAGGATCTTCAAGCCGGTACGAGGGACGAAAACACAAAGTAACGCACATTGGGCCCATGCAGGCTGCTGCGCCAAGGCAACAGGGACCAGGCAAAGGATGGCCACGAGAGTCTTGAAGGACATGGCGTGTTGTTACTACGAGTCCCTTGACATACTGTTTGTCTCGCTCAGCCTTTTATGTTATGAAGCGTGAGAGGTGCACCAGGCACGATTCAAGGAAACGCTTTAGAGTTGTCACTTCTATGAGAGCCCAGGGCCTGTAGAGAGCCTTCGGAGTGGTCGTTGCTATCAAATAACGCTTAGCGGCCCGGGCTCTGAAGCAGGTGAACGGGGAGCGAGCAATCGGGTTTTGGTAGGAGGACAGTGAAAGGATACATACAAGCGAAGAATATCCGCCTTTCGAAAGAGCTGATCTGCTGTTGGGTCATACCCTTTGAGAGGTCCACTTTACCGGATAAATGGCTAAGGGCGAAGCATCGAGGACCATCTGGCCTATGGTCAGTTGCCAGGGCAGATGCCAGACAGGAAGATATTCGGGTTTGATCAAGAAGCTGTTCCACCTCCAAGCTGTTCTCCTCTGTCACGACAACTGCTGATGCCTCCGTTCCAGCCTAGAGCACGTGCGAGGCTTCGGATCAGCAGACTACATGTAACAGTAGAGTGCCGGCGACATTCAACTGCCTTCACTCTATTCTACATGTACGCTGCTGACTCCCAAGGGCAGGTCCAGGTACGACGTAGTGTGAGCAACATGTATGGACAAATCTTGCGTCTTCGAACTATGAATTGCGTTTCCCGAGTCCGCTGAGAGTGGTTGACATGGAGACCACATGAAATAGAGCTACGAGAGTCTAAGCCATGCAAGCACGCCTCAGGCGCATTGTACTTATGGTGACGTATCGTACGAGATGCACAGGAGGACCACTTAGCAAGTAGATATGCGTCAGACGGAAGGTTGCGTACCAGCTACGTACCACTGTACCAGTGCTACCATTCAAGCCGAACTCCTCCGGGCTCTGATCTCGCATGACCTGATTATCATACGAGATTCCGGTCTCTCTCAAGGGACGTACGACGGAAGTAGCGCTCATAGCAGGTTTGCTCCCGCATGTTCTTGAAGGTAGGTAACGTCTCCGGGTACGCATATGTTACCCACGGCACCGGTTGATGTCTTATCGGGGCTACAACTTGAAGCTTGAGTCACCTTTGTGGTTCGTGCCGTTCTCTGGCTCTTAGGCCACATGCGATAGCCTTCTGTACTAGTTGGGCTGGTAGTTTTCCGTTTTCAAGACATCGGGCACGAGCCAGACTGGGCGATTTCATAATACCTGTTTGGACGTCGATGCAGCGCGAGACGGGAAACAGGATACAGTATCGACAACTGCGTCTCAGGTCCATCCAGGGAATACAAACACCAAGGACAGATGCGGCGACACATTGCCGTGATGAGTCGCCGTCAACCGTCACTGATTGGCTCGCTTTGTTCCGCGGAGGCTCGGGGACGCATCCGTGCCCGCCTCATCAACGGAACCTCTGCCTGGAGGCCCTGGACGCGTTCCAGCATGTGGTAGATTATGTTGAAGTACCCAGGCTCGGGTCCGAGGCCGGTGTGAGGACTACAGAGGACCAGCGCTAATCGTCTTCTATAAATTCGGTTCCCCAACGTTCCAAAGTTCAACTCTGTTAGCCTCCCATAGTGACCAGTAGGGAGGATGAGGATCATTAGTCCTCTGTTTTGTTTAATATCTCCAGTCACAGCGTATACGCTAGTTCACGAGTTCTCTGGACAAACCTTCTTCAATGGTTGGGATTTTTTCGACGGCTATGATCCTACGACCTACGGTGAGCACACAAACTACCTGGAGCGTTCTCCTGACTCGACTTCCTTTGTATGCAAACAGGAGACACCACTTACCTGAATCAGGCTGAGGCGCAAGCCGCGCACTTAGCCTATGTCGATAGTAATAGCGGGCATGCCTTCATACGAGTTGACAATACGACGAACGTACCGGACCAGCAGAAACGCAATACTGTGAGATGCCAATGCCATGTGCATGATTCAAAAATTCTGACCAGGAAGATGCAATCCGAAAATGACCTCAACAGATCGAAATCTTCACACACGAATTCTACCCAGTCGGCAGCGTATTCATCCTAGATGCCGTTCACATACCCTGGGGGTGCTCCGTACGTCTCCTCAACCCAAGATCAACCTGTTACACTTATCCATCCGCTACGTAGGTCTGGCCATCGTTCTGGACGCGTGGCGAAAACTGGCCTTATGGCGGGGAAATTGACATCATCGAATACGCGAATCTCATGGGCTTCAACCAAATGGCGCTGCATACCTCTGCAGGGTGTACCCACACGACACCGCAGTCTCAGGTCGGCCAGACGCTCGAGCCGAACTGCAACGCGACGTCTGGAGCTGGATGTACCGTCGCCGAGAAGAAGCCCAACAGCTACGGCCCCGGCTTCGCCAGTGCCGGCGGAGGTGTCTGGGCCACGCAATTCGACGTTTCGGGAATCTAGTAAGGAGCAACTAGTTCGATAGTGAGCTGCCGGAACTGACGAGACGCTGCAGCATTTGGTTCTGGAGTGTACGTAACCGACTTTATCGCTGAACTACACATCCGCTCATACCCCTCATACCCCTCTGTGGAACTGCAGCGTCCGGATGTCCCGCCAAGTCTCAGTCTCGCGAATACCACCATAGACCCCGCATCTTGGGGTCCTCCCTCCGCCTCATACCCCGCGAGTAGTTGTGACATCGGTTCGCACTTCGCGGCACAGCAGCTTGTGATGGACATACAGTTGTGTGGTGCTTTGTGGGTGATCTGACTCATTCGTCTGGGGGCTGTTGATTTTGATGCGCTCGGCAGCGGGAATCCGACGTACAACAACACATGTGGACCAGGGAGCTGCGTAAGTGTCCGCATGTCAAAGTTGCCCCTTACCAAGCCGATTCTCACCTTTCACAGTATGATTTGAGCGTGCGGGGCCCGGGCAGTCCGACGTACGACAATGCCTACTTTGAGATCTCGTACGTGCGTGTCTTCGGAACGGGGAACGCCACCTCCAGCAATAGCAGTACCAGCACTACAGGGACTGCCACGGCGACCAAGTCAGGGTCCCCTACTGCTACACATAGCGCACCTGCTTCTGGCGGCGACAATACCTCCGGGTCCGCTCCGGGGTTATCACAACCGTTTGCACTATTCTCTGTTGTCGGCCTTCTTTTGCTGGGTTCAGCGGTGTTGTAGAACTTTGAATGCGGGCGTTTGGATTCGCGCCCACGGACTTCGACGATTGCGTCATTCGGTATACCCTTGTCAATGTTGTTGTGGAGCTTGCTGTTACATCCTTGTTTTGTGTAGTTGTAGTCTATAACGAGGCTAATGATCTATTTCACGCTTATGCATCGCTGTTCATGACAACGCAGTTCGCTGCCGTTGAAGGAGCCTGGTCTAGCAGTCGGCAGATCCTGTACTCACCTCTCTACAAGCGTACTAACGAAGGTCGCGATATTCACCACAGGCCGTCATAGCGACAGTGTATGATGACAAGTCATTTCCTTGCATTCAAGAGGAAAGAGATCAAATCAAGCGGTATTATTATACATGGATCCCGGACGTCACGCATATATTTGCACCACAAGCCGCGGCGGTTCGGCGGCGCCACCCGCATACTGTGATCATGTTCGAACAGGTCAAAGGTACCCAGAAAAGCGCGGAACATTGTCCAGTCATATTTGAGGTAGCCCTCTTGGCGGGGAGTGCCGGACGAGGGAGGAGCGGACATTACGCCGCACCGACGTCGGCGGGAGGACCTCCAAAGCTGGCGTCGGCCACATATCGCTTCGCACGTTTCAGATCCGCAGTGGACACCCAAGAGCTTCCTCGAGCGATCGCCGCCAGCCAGTCCTCGAAGGCCGCCTTGCGGAAGTTGGTGAGCACTTCCACACCCCAGGGAGTGGCGTGTACCCACCACGGAAACGCAGACCAGGGGAACTGCTTGAATACGGAAACCGACCGGCATCGTTTCCAGCTGATTGCAGAACGATAGACGCACTTGAAATTCCTGCTGTACAAGGTGCTCCAAAGCCAAACAACCACAAAAGAGATGTTTGCTTAGAAAGCCGTCAGTTACTCGTTCGAGGGCAATCGAGCACATTAGCGCCCAGCTTACCCCGACAAAAGTGGCTGCGACGCGCTCCCCTCCTTCTGCATTAGGCGGTTTTGATTGGCAGGCGCCCCAGCAGTAAAAATATGAGGTGCGTCTATCGTTCTGCAATCAGCTGTCAAGAGAACGTGAGTGTATATGTTGAATGTACGGGAAGACCGCGGGAGCTCGTCCAGGGGAAGTAACTGGGAAAGAACGTCCTTAACTAGTATCATCTGGCCATTCGCCAACCCAATGGCAAGATGATCATGATCCTTGTACAACCTCGTGACGTCTTGCATATCTATGCTTGTCGTTACAGCAGACCCGTACGATATGCAGATGTCGTACGGCTCATTGGACGATAGATCCAGGACGTTCCGCAGTGGCAAGAGACAGGCTCCGGGGAGGTACAACTGAGGGTCATACATTCCATACATTCTGAGATCCCGCAGTGCACGCAGTCGGGAGGCCACGTGATAGGCAGAAGATTTGGAAGCAGTCATATCGTCATCGAAGTCCAGGAAGAGAACTTCGAGCGTTGACTGATCGCTGGGAGTATCTCCCGGGCGAATGAGTGCCAATGTTGACCCAAGGTCTCATGTACAGGCCCTAGGTCTAGCGTGTTTGACTCTTTTCTTTCAGGCCGCTGTGGAAAGTAGCCAGGGTCACAGAGCGGTCCGTCACTCACGAAAAGATATCGGACGCGGATATCGAGATCCTGAGCAACGATCTGGGCGAACGCACGACGCTGGGGAGCTCCGACCAGCTTCAGCGATTGGAAGCGGACAGGCCTTGAGGTCTCGCGGAAATATTTGCATACGCGGGAGAGGGCGCGACCTGTCCCTCCATCGTCGGTGCAGGCATAGCCAAAAATCGCCTGCCAAGTCTCACTCGGGAGGTGGTCCATGGCCGACATTCAAGGTCTACAACTAGGAGTGTGAGGGGAAATGGCCAGCATATTTGATGAGGCTGGCGTACCTTGAAGGGCACCACTGCGGCGAGTAGTCTGGTGTACCTGAACCGGTAAGACGAGACACTTGATTCTGCTGTGAATGAGAGAAACAAAGGTATGGAATGTGGCAAATTGCAATATTTGTAATCATACAATAGGCGCCGGCGTGGCGAATACCATCACGTTCCTGTCACGATCCTGCATCTCCGGTAGGTCAACGTAGGCCCCCTGAAAATTCTCATAGTGGTCTGACACCGGTTTCGGTAAAAATCACCCATGGGTGCCAGGTCTGATACAGTTTTGGTAAAGGACCTGCCAGTGGAATCAATCTTGGATACCAATTTTCGGGTAAAAACACTATTTGGGTAACAATTATGGCCACAACAGTGCCACAGCTTGCCACAATGATCAGGTGGTGAGATTCTTGGATTCCGTATACACCAGTGCACCTCAGAGAGGCTCATAAAGCCCATACATAACTGAATCTAGTATCCCCGCAGTCACCGGAATCTTTTTTGTAATGAATGAATATCCTCAAGCCCTCAGGTTGGATACCAATGTTTTGGTAAAAATCACATCTAAGGCAAGAGGTCAGATACTTTTCTGGTAAAACACATCCCAATATGGTAATTTTGGTTTCGGTAAAAATGGGGGGAAAGTTGCTATCTGGTATCAGACCTCTATGGGTATTTTCAGGGGGCCTGTCAACGTTCAACCTTTCCATAGCCACTCCATATTTCCCCAAACCGACTTCGATGATGGTGTACAGTACTGTATTTCTAGGCGTCTGTGAAGTCTCTGAATTGTTCATTGGGAACATCACGCTCTGTGGGGGGCGCCGTAGTTTGCATGCGTTGGAACTGAAGTCTATCTATGGTGACGTTGAATCGGTCTGTAATGGAACTAAGTTAGCCACGGTTAATGATAGGACTCACGTTGTATCGAGAGAAGCCGTGGAGCTCGGCTTGCATTGCAGTTCCATGGCCACAGCTGCTCCTCCAATGACATAGTCGCTCAGCAAGCCACACTATGACGTCATTCAAGAGGACGTATATATGCCTCCAGAAAGCGGTATTCACCGTCATATAACGTTCTGTCTGAATATCCTATTCTCTTAACTCACTCAAATTTCCTAATATCGACAACAACAATGTCAGGTGCCGAAGGTGACTACCCTGAGCAGCGCCACGCCGGTGCGGTGGGTTACGGCCCAGAGTACCACAAAGGAGCAGTAAGTAGCAGAATACTGTGTGTGTGGGGGGTCGTATCTGACCAGAAATGTTGACCGGCAGACTCTTGGCGACAAGATGAGCGGATTGACCGAAGAGGTGAAAGGCAAGGTGACCCGGAAGCCAGATGTCGTTGAGCATGGACGCGAGATGCGCACCGGGCAACTGAAGCAGAAGTCTCTAGAGGACGATGAGGATGTGAGTATCTCATTAATCCTACTATTCGCGATGCGGAAGGCTGACGAGATGGGCAGCCTTTTAAGAAGCCCGGCGCCGAGCCGTCAGCGGGGGCTGGGTCCACGCCCGCGGACGACCACGCACGAGAGCAAGCGTCGACGATTGCGCCCGAGGGCACGCATACCGCGGAGAGGCAGCGAACCGGGAATGACGAGAGCATGAAGATGATGAACCAGTGAATTGGACCGTCAAGCCTCCAGACATCTTGGTCATCTTGGATGTTCGTTCCGTGGATCACAACTTGGCAACATTGTATCATTATATTCTTACATTGTAATAATCGATCGGATCATTGATGTACTTCGTGCAATGCTTGGAATTCGTTGCAGATGTACCCTTCCTGCATGAGACCACATACGATGTCGCTCGGACTTCACGGTGCAATTTCGTTGCCTCCTGCGTTGACCGCCGGTCCAAAGATGGGGAGAGAACGTCCGAAGCTACCGCAGAGAAGTCCAGCAAGAGTACAGCGAGGCCGGCATGGAGGGAGTAGCGGCGTGTTGGGCTCGGCGCTTCGCCAGCGCCAGTATCGTACGCCTGAAACACCGCGCCAACGTGTAGGCGATAGCTCAGGCTCACCTCCTGCCTTCATGCTGTACCTTATAGCGCGCTGGAACATGCGAGCCACCTAGGTCTCAAGTCTGTCGGAAGTCCTCATGATCATAGCAAGGGCGTCCTAAATATAATACACCCTATATATATCTCAGACTGACCGCAGCACAAGGAACATACCTGGAATGATTGCATCGTGTTCCCTCGTTTCTTGTGGAGCATGGGCACGGAGATATTCCACTCAAACGGAACGACCTCAAGGGCAGAGACGAGCAGAAACAGATCCAGACGAATCCAACCGACCTTTAGCCGCGTCTGTGAGCAACCGGTCCTAAGAGTCTTGGACTCAGCTTGGACTCTCGGCCTCCTCCTGGACATTGCATAAACAGTCCAGGCACATATCAGGGTGACTTCGGCGTGCTGTCTTGGAAACAGGTGAAGCTGATCGCTTCGGACGCCGTCTTGTTCTGTGCTATAAGTATAAAGCCGTTGAAAATCGCTGCTGATGTCGAACACGGCGAAACCGACGTGAATAAGCTGGAAAGACCCAAAGATAGACTCAACGTCTGCGCGGTCGTCGTTGAAACATTTAGGGTTGCTTTCAAAATAGAGCCGTGTCAGGTGCTGCCGCAGTAAGACAAAGCGGCACTGCCAAACGAACTTAGTGCGGCCTGTCTGTTGACTGTGTACACTGGGCGTGTAAGCTGCTGCAGGACGTGAATAACGAGCAAAAATGGCCTACCGACCGCGAAACGACATAGCGATGCAGCCGTACACCGACCACCCAGCTGGAGGGAGCCGTGCCGACCTGCAGGATTACTACGACGACGGAACGGGCGTTCCAGTGAGTGCGACTTATAAGCGCGCGGCCTGCTTCCCCCTTAAATTATCCCTTTCCTCTGCCCCGTCTGACCTCTCGTTTCGCCTGCTGCGCAGCCCCCACACCGTCTTTCAGACTATTCCACTCCTTCATACACCCCAGTCCCCGCAACCGGCTCGACGGCGAACCTGAAAGACATGTCCGGCCAGCCGCGCGGATACACCGACCTCGACGCGCCCTACAACGCCGGGGGCAACAGCGCCTGGCTGGAGAAGCAGGAGAGCCGTAGCAAGCGTTCGAAGTGGATTGTGAGTGCGGTGTTTTCTACTTGCGTCTGGGTGTTGACGTTGGTGAAGGTCATCGGTTCCTTCCTCGGTCTGCTAGGCCTCATTGCCATCGGTGTCGCCCTCGGCGTGACATTGTCGAGGAAATCGTCGTCGTCCAGCAAGAGCAGCTCATCTGGTGCTGTCAATCAGACCGACCCTAATGACCCGAGCACGTTCGAGAAGAACCCGAACTTGCATCAGTCGTTCTATGGCATCGCCTATACACCTGAAGGGTCGCAATACCCGGCCTGCGGCAACAGTCTTGGTGAGCATATTATGATTTCATTCTTTACAGCCGTTACGCATCCGACCACCGCTCCATCTGGGGCTCTCAGTGCGGTGGGATGGTGACGGGTACTTGTCGTGACTTGGAGTGCGCAGTCACGGGCCATGTCGGGTCCTGGCTCCCTGGGACATGCGATGCCTACTCTGTACCCCTGTCGAGCTGCTATGAGATCTTGGTTGCGCCATATGCTGACTCTCACCTCCAGACCAGGTCATCACTGACATTCAGGTATGTTGCCCCTCCCCTTCTAGTCGCGATATCACTTAACAAGCCACTCGCAGCTCCTATCCCAGCTTACTACGGTAAATAAGCGCCCTCATACCACACCTCGTGCGTCCCTAATATCACACTCCAGCGCATCCGGCTTTACGGCGCCGACTGTAATCAATCCGCTCTCGTTGTAAGTTCCCTGCGCGGACCGCTCTCTGGTGTACCTCACACTCGCGTTCGTAGCTCGAAGCCATCAAGCAGACCAAGGTCAACATGACCGTCTGGCTCGCCAACTACAACATCCCGACCGACAAGACGCCGTACACCCGCCAGAAGCAGGCCATCCAGGAGGCCATCCAGACCTACGGCACGGACCACATCGGCGGCGTGACCGTCGGGAACGAGTTCATGCTCAAGTACGTCCTGATTTGCCCAAGGCGGGAGTGGGTGCTGACTTCATCGTAGCTACTTGAACGCCAACGGCGCGTCGGACCCGAACAGCGCGGTCGGCAACCAGGGCGCGGCACTGCTCAAGGCGGACATCGACGACACGAAGCAGATGCTGAAGGATATGAACGTGAACCTCCAGGTCGGGAACGCCGAGGCGGGCAGTTACTTCAATACGTTGGTGCTTGAGGATGTCGACTACGGCGTACGTGTCACCGGTCGTGGCCGAAATTCTTCCTGTACTCACTGTTGTGTGTAGATGTCGAATGTCCACCCCTGGTTCGCGAATGTCTCAATTGACCAGGCTGCGGACTGGACATGGGAGTTCTTCGACGAGCAGAACGTCGAGCCCGCTAAGGCCCTCTCCAACTCGCCGAAGATGTACATTGCAGAGACCGGTTGGCCTTCGGTGGGTCTCATTTCGTTCGCTTGTACATAGACACGCGGTGCTCATACCAGGGCATGACTAGAATTCATCTGACGCTGGAAACGAGAGCAACGGGCCATCGACGGCTTCGACAGCTAACCTTCAGGTCAGTTGTTCTTTCTCTACTGATGGCGTTCGGCAACTGAGGACGTCATGTTCAGACTTTCCTCGACACGTTCGTATGCCAGGCGAACCAGAATGGCACCGGTTACTTCTACTTCGAGTACTTCGATGAGATCTGGAAGGTCTGCAGTTATTTGTTTCGTGCTAGCGTCGTCGAGGCTTATTGCTACTGCAGGACCAACAATTCGGTGGTGTCGAGGGCTGGTGGGGTCTCTTCTACGCGAAGTAAGTGTAGAATGCACCCGCTCGCTAGCACATATTCACCCAACACTCTTCTCGCAGCCGCACCCTCAAGCCTCTCACCATCCCTGACTGCCAAAGCCCATAAGTCGCCCGGGACATGTACTCGATACCTACTCTAACCTCCTAATGAGGCCTACCCAGACCTCGGACCTTTGCTTGCGCGCGCACATGATTATCTTGCTTTCGCTTTGTTCGCATGATATGCGCCGGACGGACTCGTACTTACATTGAGGTTGGGTACTACAACTACGAATTTTTGTGTAATGTACAGTTGGGCTGCAGGTGGATGAATAGCATGGACACTGTATGTGACGATAACTAGTCTTTTCATACCCGTGGCCGTTCGCTCCATCATCGTTGTATCGTTTACTTTCCCGCATTTTATCAGGCATTCCCAATCACCTCCATCGAGCTACTAGTATGGGGTCTCCACAGAAAAAGTGAAGAGTAGGTTTCGAAGTATATACGTTTGTGACAGGCGAGCAGGAAACGAGCTTCGCGATCATTGTATTCCGTGGATCATAGTTTCGGCTCTGGGCGAGCGAGGTTTGATGTAGCATGCAAACGGCGTGGGATGACTGTGAGGGACAGTACGTTCGTTAAGTGTGCTAGAATGAATGATTGGCAGCACTGAACTGACCTAACAATGTCGGTACTATAGTCGACAATCGGCTCAATGACATTGCCTGCATCATCGCGCGCTTTGGAGATGTCGAACACAGCTAGCGACATGACACAGGCTATGAACAAGGAACTGTCTGCCAGTTTGATGCCTAGAGGATCACCCATGGTCAACAACTAATTATCACGCTTCAAGGCTTTCCGGTCTGTCGCGGCACCTACCTGGACAAACTCTGGTGACGAGCAAATTTATCAGCAGTGGGCTCGTGTATCTCTCGTAAACTGCACCATACCTGCGACCGAATCCGAAACAGTAGTTCTGAGGGTCTGGCTCGGGATCGTGGTCGTCCGCTTTCAAGTATCTCTCTGGTTTGAATTCTGCGGGATTCGCATATCTTTCAGGGTCATGCAGGAACCACCTACCCTCCGATCAGCGTTGAATCACTGGTCTTGACCTCGGAATGGTAAAGCTCACCAAATATTAGGTATTATTATCGAATCCTTCGGTATGAGGTACCCTTCATGAATATCATCCTCTCGCAGGCGGTGAGGGACACCTGGAAGTGCATCGAACGCCTGAGTAGCATGTTCACCATCTCGGCGGCCAGCATACCTAGGGGAGCCACAGGATTCCATCGTAAGACTTCCTTGATCAATGCCTCGACGTAAGGCAATCGGTCCCTGTCAGCGAAGGATGGTAGCCGCTCTGAGCCGACCACCTCATCAATCTCTGCCTGGGCCTTCTTCTGGACTTCGGGGTATAGCGCCATAGCCAGATAGAATGAACAAATAGCAGACACGGTCTACGGGAGCAAATGGGCATCAGCTTGTATGAAGTAGGAAGGAGTCTACCGTATCCGCACCACCTAAGAAACATGCTATAAATCGGTGTCCGAATAGTTCGCATGTTGAATAGTACTGACCTGCATATAAGGATGCGGCAGCCCATCGGATGATGTCCTCTTCGTTTGGGTCCCCCGCTTCTAATTGATTGGAAACGAACGAAGGAGGCGCGGTTCCTTCCGCCTAGAGACGCAGTGTGAATTCATGGACATGTTTTCCTGAGCAGCATCACGTCTCGACAGACCATCTGTTTGCGAGTGAAGTTGAATGGGAGATTAACCATGTCTTTCAAGGTAGCAGCATAAGCTTTAGCGTTCCTCTTGAATTGCGCACCCGGGAACCAGCTGGGAAGGAACCTCACTAGAGCGGTCATCAGTACTAACGCGTGCGCACCAGCGAAGACCTCCTCACATATCGGCAGGGTATCAACCAAGTATGCGCCGGGAACCACCAGTTCCGAGAAGTGGTCCATGGCGTTATCGACGACACGCACCATCGGATCATTGTCAGTTTGCACCTTGTATCCATACGTAATCTGCAGAATTACAGCACCGGCCATCCTGACAACAACAAATGATCTGTCCTGTGCGTAATTGCCAAGCTCATACAACACACCTGCGAGCGTGAGCTGCAAAGTTTCCCGGGTCGGAAAGAGTTTTTGCAAGAAAGCACCGCATCTCCTGCTCTTCAATGGGATTAAACTGCTCCGTGCTTCCCCGTGTGCCGACTGCACTGTGCATTAGGCGACGGTATTTGCGAAACCTGTCGCTAAGAGACAAGCCCGCCAGTATGTCTCTCCAGCCCACCAATTCGTGGGCCATAATTAGAGTGGGGCGGTCTGAATAGATCGTGCTCTTCCTCTCAAGCATATCGATGGCTACCTGCGGAGAGTTCACAACTATCATCGTTTGTCCGAGGACTTTGAGAGATATGATGTTCCCTGAATGCCCAATAAGTTAGCGTGTTTACTCGGACAGGGCGGGAAAGAATAGACTTACCGAAACGTTGGACCCATCCAGCGAAGACTCTCCAAGGATGCTTAGCGGGCATGTCCAGGATGTTTCCCGCCACTGGTAGTCCTCTGGGGCCAGGAGGAAGGGGTGCATGACGGCCGGACCAGAAGAAGTAATATGCACAACAGATCGCAAATCCACACAGGCAAAGGTCAAGGAGAGAAACCATTGCGAAAGACATTACTACGTTCACTTCAGAAAATGGAGGCAGAGCATACTTCAAGATTCGCCTTTATAAAAAACCGGGTGGATTATTCAACCTTTACCACTGGTGCGCCATTCTGCTTGGCAGACTGGTATGGCGATGCTGTCCCGGCAGATAGCGGCCGGAAGGGAATCCCGAGTACGCGCAGGAGCTATACCCTGCAGTCAGTAACTTGAACTTCTCTGCCTTCCCATCAGTACGCGGAGCGTGATTTAGCCTGGTTTACCTTGCCTCCTTTCGGAGCAGCAGGAGCATCCTCGCCCCGTAGTCTAGGTACAACCACGTGGCATCCAAGAGGAGTTGAGGAAAGTCCGATAGAAGCAGGTTCCTTCAGCTTCATCATTCGAAATGTGCGGGGGCTCTCCTCAACGATCGCCCCCCTACGAACGGAATGTATGCCAATAACCGGTACCCTCAAGTAAATGGAGAAGTACTAGAGAGAACACTGTGGACATCACTAACCCTACAGCATAAAGACGCAGAAGAGGTGACGGGGGAAACTATGAAGTTCATTCCGTGAATCAGAGCTTCAGCTTTGGGTGAACGAGGTTTGATGGAGCATGTAAACGGTACCTAGGGACGAGTTGACCTGATAATACTAATATCCGCGCTGTAGTCGATGATGGGCTCGATGACATTGCCTGCATCGTCACGCGCCTTGGAGATACCAACCACAGCTAGCGACATAGCACAGTATATGAACAAGGAAGCGTCCGCCAACATCATGCCTGTGAAAATCATGCACAGTCGCAAACTAACACGCTTCGCGACCTTTCCTAGCACTCACCTGCATATTCTTTCGACGACGAGTGAAGTCAGGTCTCCGAACGTATATTCTCTGAAACTGCACCATACCGGCGACCGAATCCAAGAGTTGCGAGGGTCTGTCTCGGGATCGTGGCCATCGACCCGGAGAAACCTCTCCGGTATGGACTGTGCGAGATCTGCATATCTTTCGATCATGCAGGAACCACCTTCCACCCGTCCGATGTGGAAATACCTCGGTCAACTGCAGTCAAGCAGAATGTGGTAAACCCACCAGATATTGGGTATTATGAGGGAATCCTCGGTATGAAGTACACCTGGGTAGTAGACAGTAAGATTATACGCCTAGTCATGAACGAGACTATCATACCCAGGGGACCCACGGAATTCCATCTTAAGACTTCTTTGACTAATGCCTCGACATAAGGTAACTGGTCCGCGTCGCAATCTGAACCACCACGGCGTCGATCTCCGCTTGGGCTTTCTTCTGCACTTTGGGGTATAGCACCATCGCCAAGAAGAACGAACGGACAGCAGAAAGGTTCTGTGTAACCGGGTGGGCATGAGCTTGGGTGGAGGAGCAGAAGATTCTTACCGTATCTGCGCCACCTAGGAAATATCGCACGGAGGAACTTCGAGACCTAAGTATCTCTGACCTGAATACAAGGATGCGGCAGCCCATCTAACGATGTCTTCCTGGCCTGGGTCCTCCATCTCTAATTGATTAGAGACAAAGGATGGAGCGGCATTTCCCTTCGCCTAGAGACACGGCGTAAGTTATCCGGGTCGGCGAGGGTCTGTTGAAGGAAACGACACGCTTCTTGCTCTTCGATGGCTCAGAACTGCTCCACACTAGCTCGCGTGCCGACTACGCTGTGGATCAGGCGTCCATATTTGCGGAACCGTTCCGTAAGATATCAGCTCGCGAGCACATTTCTCCGGCCCACCATCTTGTCAGCCATAGTAAGAGTAGGGCGATCCGACTAGATCTTCCTCTCAAGCTTATCAATAACGACGTCCGGGGAGTTCACGACTATCATCGTTTGTCCAAGACCTTCAGGTATATGATGTTATCTGAAAGCTTGAGAATTAGTTCCGCCCGACCGAAAAAAAGGGGGGGAGAGACAAACCCCGACGGTGGCGCCATCCAGCGAAGACTTTCCAAGAGTGTTTAGTCGGCATATCAAAAATGTTTCTACTCCCTTTGGACCAAGAGGGACGGGCGGACGATGTCCGATCCATAACAAGTAAGCCAGGCAACACAGCACTCCGCCCAGGCTGAGGGCAGAACAGAGTCGGTAGGGCAACTCATCATTGCCTCCAGCTCACGAATACAGGAGCAAGAGCATGCGAAGGAAGCTTGAGCGAGACGGTAGGGACTTACGTTTATGTAAGTTCGGGTGCAATACGAGCCACCGCTCCAATCAGCATGCTAAGCAGCTTAAGCCCTAGTTGCCCCGAAGATTAACTCCTTTCGAAGCGGCAAGGACTGTGACTAACATCCTGGGTCAAGACGCCACTCTTACTCTAAATCAACCACGAGGCATCCATGGGAGTCTAGTGATCTCCGGGAACAACCGCCCTGGAGCTAATGAAGCAGAGTCCTCTTAAGGTCGGGAAATGCGCGAAACGTGCTCCATTAGTACAAGCATCTTCCAGCTACAGATCGATCGGTGACCCTGCCAGATAGTGCCGAAAGTACAGCCAGAACGACAGCCCAAACACCCTGCGAAACGTATTCCAATGAAAACCCGCGGGACGTACTCCAATAAACCAGAAGTAGATGAAAGGTTTGGTGTGATTGGAAATCACTCCGAACGCCGCCCTGGCCTACAGGGCGTAGAACAGACCAGCGACTACCACAGCTAGCAGGCTGGCCCACGTTGGGCAAAGAATTGTCACATCACCCGATGTCGACGCCGGAGATTTCAGAGGGCTGGTAAGTAGGGCCTTATCAATGACGTGGACCACCCCGTTCTGAGTCAAGACGTCGGACTTGGTGATGTTGGCAGTATTCCCCCCCTTCAAGGTAACAGTAGTCCCATCGAAGGACAGCTCTTGATCAGCTGCATTACGCAGTGTCCCGACGAGGGACTTGAAATAATATGTTCCGTTAATCACCTGTAAATGGGTGTCCGTGGTGAGCAGCTGCGTGTAGATCGAAGACGGATGTGCGTCTCCCTAACATGATTGTTGACGATGTCGTCCAGACTGTCGGTGCTGAGATGTGCCCAGGAAGCAATTTCTGAGACAAGCCCGGCGTCTGAACTCTGAGGGTGAGTCACAGCAAAGCATTACGGAGCGGAGTGGCTTGCCTTCGGGGACAAATAGCGTGATGCCAGGTTCCGTGCTAGTTTCTTCAATGGCATTCGCGATGTGGGTATTGCTGGCGAAAGCAGTGATGTTTAGTGCTTGCAGTGTATCATTCAAGGTTCCCGGCGCGGTTAGCAATTCGCTAACGACAGCGTATCCGTAGCTGATGTTTAATCCGGGGATGGTGAAGGAGTCGAGAGATGTGATATTGATGTCCGTGACGCTGACCAAATCTCATGAACAATGTATTTCTCCAGAGGATGAACGAGTAATTTACCCTTGCTCCAGGACATGTATGATGCCATCAGTGAGTCTGGTTAAGACCATTGACTGACTTTCTCCCGTACGTAGCAGCACGGAGGCCGTATCATTTAGCGCACTTGGGAGCACGGTATGGTTGGGGTAAACAGGGATATTGGCATTGCCCAGGGGTGTATCGACAACGTGGTAAGCCAATACATCGAATATCTTCTCCGTGTCATTGAGAAGGTTGTTGAGGGTGGCATTGGGTACTGATGCGGATGACATTATACGCTGGGTACACTGGACTATCATTGAGTCTTACCAAAGCTGTAAATAGAAGACCTCAGTGACACAAACCGGTATATGAGAGGAAGAGCAACGAACGCAGGAAACAGGAACGTCATGCTGCCGTTGAACAGACTTGCGAAATCTGCGATATATTTACTCGGCAGGCTCTCGACGATACTGACACCATCCTTGAAGCCCTTCGACCTGAAGAAGGCAACGAATGCGTCGAGAAAGCCTTCGGCCTCGAAGGGCAGCAGGGGACCCTGGGCGAGTATGAGCGGTGGCCAAGATAGCAATAAAAAGACGATGTGTATCAGATGCATGGTGGAAGACGGAGGATGATTTGACTTTTGAGGGGATGGGCTCCGCCTTATACAGAGAGTTTATAAGTTCACCAATGGGCATACTAGCAGCGCGGCAGGTTGATGCGGTCCCCTCGGATACAAAGTTCGTCCGGTAGAGCTGTGAGGCCCAATCAGCCACGAGGCGTATACATTGAAGATTGCTGCCCTATAACAAGCATATTAATGAGGTGCCGACGAGACGTGAACTTCGTTCGGATGATGTGCTGAAATAAGTTATCCAGCGGCGAAAGAGAGGTAACCACTCATGCACAGGGCACTTCTGTTCCCAGATCAAGGATCGAGCCTACGAACCAATTACGAGATGGAGGCCAAGTACGAGCGGGCAGCATACATGCATTGAAGATACCGAAGGAATGGAAGAGTGTCAGTATACGGCGATTGGTCGGAAAGACTAGGAATAGCCATGGAACTCAGCGACATTGGTTTCGAGCGCCGGGAAATTCAGAAAAAGCTCTAGTGCGAGATTCATGAGAAGCGATGCGGATTAATGATGCCGAGTGCCTCTCTGCGGAAATTGCACGTCCCGAGACATGGCCTCTCAATCGGAACGTACATAGGTCGTCGACGGTACAGCCTGTAACAAAACGACACGAAGCCCCAACTCAAGTGTTTCATTCGCGAACAAGTCCGACGGCAAGAGACTGCCTGCCTCCGCCCAGGCCTAGGGATGGATTAGCTACCGACCCAGGGAGGACGGTCCATTTTGGACTTCATCCTTGACAAGGCAGCAACAGAACGAACACTTGCACCATGAGGTTCAAGCGAGTAACCATCCCAGGGACATGTGCTTTGAATTTCCCCTGATTCAGTGCCTCGACGTAGTCCAAGTCAACCGGCGAGCCGAACAATGTCCCAGCCAGGCGATGTTGCCAGAGGTTCCGCACCAGCGAGTTCAACGAATGTTCCATAGGTTATAATTACTAATGAACGCCAGTGGAGAACTGAGCAGGTGTCCCAATAGTCGCGTTTTCATTGCACATGAGGCACCCAGAACAAGCACAGCGCTTGGCGGAAGCCCTTGATTTGACCATAGCAAAAGGTCATGCTGTTATCAGCGCTATTACACGGGCGCCATCTATTCTTGTCCGGGATCGAACGACCATTGAGCTGGTAGTCGGAATGCATATAGACAACGGCACCTTTGGCGGATAAGCTTCCACACTGTTTCGTTACTTCGAAGCTATTGTGATGTCACGCGCGAAAGGCCTAGTACGGTCGGAAAACCTGGGTATCCGGCGCTAGACCAGAGATAATAGGGAGGGAACACTCCACCCTCGGGGGGGGGGGGGTCTTAAAGAACGGAATCTAGTGGCAATACTGACCGACCTGTACTGTGCAACAACAAAATGACAATGGATTAACCATTATTAGCTGTTTTAAAGAGGGAGTTTGGGATCACGCAGTCCTTGGATCGGGCTCAGCCGTTTCACTCTTGATCGCGAGCAAAGCAGGCTGCCTAGGGAAGTGATCAAAGGTGCAACTCCGCTCAGAGGGCAAACCGACAGTCGTTCGTGGAATATTTTGCGGGAAGCAAGGCAAAAGTGATCTGGGACAAGCGCAGCGCTGCAGGGTCTCGAAAAGCCATCGGTACATGTCCCAACCAGTACAGAAAGCGCCAGAAAGCCAGTTTCAGTTTCGGGTAAGATGGACCTTGAGCACGATCCATCCGTTCGTTCTCTATCCACTCTCCGTCCGCATCGTGGGGTTTTAGTTTCAGCGAAGGGGATACTGAGAGAAACCCGGGAGAAGCAAGCCAAGCATGCTCAAGTAGGATGTCCGGCATCCAAAGGATAGTCATGGCCTTCTGGAATATCCTGAGGCCCCCTTACGCGCAGGACTAACGGCCTCATCGCGAAGGCAACGTCGGGCGCAGAATCTTGAAAGAGGGAGCGGAGGGAGCAGATTACTACAATATTTGCTGTGAAAAAATGCGATGGTAAATAATACCATGTAAGTATCAATTATCGATTATTAATAACCTTATTTGTAAGCCGCGAAGTGTGCGTCAGAGATTTCGCGCACTTCGTCGCGTTAGGCTTGCGTTGCCCATTTGCTTTCCTTACAGTTTCTGTCAGGTCGACTGCCTGGTTCAGCGCCTTGAAAGGCGAACAGGTGGTGTACTCGTGCAGCTACTAACAGATGAATTTTTTGGGCGCGTTTCTGGGCGGCACACGACAGGCATGTACGAAACTGGCAGTAGCTGAAGCCGGACCCTCTCGACTGGTCTACAACACACGACATGCACGGCGATGGAACTCGCTGCAGCGGCAGGCGTTCTCAGCGTCTACAGTTGCTGGGTTTGCTGGCCCTACTTCGCCTGTAGCTTATCCGAGATGGATGAACTCGCGGGCGAACGTACGGGGGAAGTCGGACGGGTCGACGGAAGGGGAGAGCGTTGAGCTCCATGAATCCGACGGTACGCAGAAAGACGATACGTCTGTTCGACTAGACAGCCCGGAGGAGGGCGGAGGGCAGGGCGCTTCGTCTGGCTCTGCCCCACCGTCCTCTTCGAGCGGTCAGAACTCGGACGGCTCTGACCCGCCAGAGTCACCACCACCGGATCCCCCATCCTCCTCCAAATCATCTACTACGATATCTAGACAATCCGTCCCCGAAGTCTATCCCCAGGTCCTGGCCCTCCCCATTGCACGACGTCCTCTCTTCCCCGGTTTCTACAAGGCAGTGGTAGTGCGCAACCCGCAGGTGGTGGCTGCTATCAAGGAAATGATGCGGCGCGGACAACCATATTTGGGTGCTTTCCTCCTCAAGGACGAGAATGTAGACAGCGACATCATCACGGACATTAACCAGGTTCACCAGGTCGGCGTGTTCGCCCAGATCACGAGCGTCTTTGCAGCCACGGGCACGGAGGATAAAGAGGAAGGTTTGACGGCTGTATTGTATCCTCATCGGAGAATTCGGATCAAGGAGCTCGTGAAACCGGGTAAGCCTGCGTCTGCGACCGCACCTGCATCTTCTGCCTCGGTAGAGAATGCAGAGAGCTCGGAGGAACAGCTGCCTACCCCCCCGCCTTCGCCGGCACCCACGACTCCGGAAGACATCGCCAAGATGCACCCTGCCCCGCTCCAGACGTCGTTCCTGCAGAACTATGAGATCTCGATAGTGAATATCGAGAACCTCGTCACGCAGCCGTACAATAAGGACGACCAGTACATTCGGGCGTTCATGTCGGAGATTGTCTCTGTGTTCAAGGACATTGCCCAACTCAACCCGCTGTTCCGCGACCAGATCACGAATTTCTCGATCAATCAGGTCGCGTCTAACGTCTTCGACGAGCCGGACAAGCTCGCAGACTTCGCTGCGGCGGTCTCAACCGGCGAAGTTCAGGAGTTGCAGGACGTGCTCGAAGCCCTAGTCGTTGAAGACCGGTTACGCAAGGCCCTACTGGTTCTCAAGAAGGAGTTGATCAATGCGCAACTGCAGAGTAAGCTCAGTAGGGACGTCGATAGCAAGATCGCAAAGCGACAGAGGGAGTACTACCTCATGGAGCAGCTCAAGGGTATTAAGAAGGAGCTTGGCATGGAGAGCGACGGCAAGGACAAGTTGATCGAGAAGTTCAAGGAAAGGGCCGAGAAGCTTAAGATGCCGGAGCATGTTAAGAAGGTCTTCGACGAGGAGCTCAACAAGTTACAAGGTCTCGAGCCGAATGCCAGTGAAGCCAATGTAACCAGGAATTACCTTGAATGGCTTACACAGGTGCGTTACTGTTTCGTATGGAAGTTTGATCGGATATTGATGTTATATATGATTTCCTAGATCCCATGGGGTCAGCACTCTCCAGAGAATTACTCAATCTCGCACGCGCAGAAGGTCCTTGACGAGGATCACTACGGTCTCAAGGACGTCAAAGAGCGGATTCTCGAGTTCCTGGCTGTCGGTAAGCTCAGAGGGACCGTCGAGGGCAAGATCATTTGTCTGGTCGGCCCGCCAGGTGTGGGCAAGACATCTATTGGCAAGTCGATCGCGCGCGCTCTTAATAGGCAGTTCTTCCGGTTCTCTGTTGGTGGCTTGACCGACGTCGCGGAGATAAAGGGACATCGGAGGACATATGTCGGGTAGGTTGTGACCAGACATCGTCAATGTAATTTACTTACGCCGACTTGACAGAGCACTGCCAGGCAAGATCATTCAGGCTTTGAAGCGGGTCGGCACAGAGAATCCTCTGGTCTTGATTGATGAAATCGACAAAATTGGCCGGGGTATCAACGGTGATCCTGGTAGTGCTTTGCTGGAGATGCTAGACCCCGAGCAGAACACGAATTTCTTGGATCATTAGTGCGTACTTTCCACTTGATTCTTGTTACTCGTTCTGACCTTGCCCAGCCTCGACGTCCCTGTGGATTTGTCCAGAGTCCTCTTCGTGTGTACTGGTATGTTATGCTTTCGTCCTTCATGCATATCCTCACGTTGTTACTTAGCCAACGTCCTGGACACCATATCTGCGCCCCTGCTTGACCGTATGGAGGTCCTCGAACTGAGCGGCTACGTAACGGAGGAGAAGCTTGTCATCGCAGACAAGTATCTCGGCCCACAAGCTAAGGAAGCGGCTGGTCTTAAGGATGCCGATATCACCGTTGACCGTGCTGCCATCGACACCCTGATCAAATACTACTGCCGCGAGAGCGGTGTCCGTAACCTCAAAAAGCATATCGACAAAGTGAGCTGCCGCCACGATGATGGTGTTCACTGGAATCTGACCATTGCTCTGTAGATATATCGCAAGGCTGCTTTGAAGCTTGTTCAGGATCTCGGCGAGGAAGCCTTCCCTGAAGAGGCAGCGTTACCGCAGGATGTCAAAGAGGGCAAGACGGAGACTGTCGAGAAGCAAGATGCACCGTCCAACGAACCGGCTGCGCCCGAGACTTCAACTCCCAAGACTGAGTCCGCCAGTGAAGCCCATGAGCAGGGCAATTCTGAGGGTGAACGTCAGGTTACGACCGAGGAGCGGAAGCCGCTTAAAGTGCCGGACACTGTCCATATCAGGATTACCCCGGAGAATCTGAAGGATTATGTTGGACCTCCCGTTTACCATCGGGATCGCCTGTACACGAGACCGCCTCCCCCAGGTGTCAGCACTGGTCTTGGATACCTTGGTAATGGCTCTGGTGCAGTCATGCCCGTTGAAGCTACGGTACGTACATAGCAATGCAGTCAAGCGCCGTTGGATGTATCTCATCCTTGCCACAACAGAGTATGCCTGGTAAAGGCACTTTGCAGCTGACCGGTAAATTGGGCGAAGTGATTCGGGAAAGCGCGCAGATTGGTTTGAGCTGGGTCAAGAGCCACGCCTATGAGCTGGGTGTCACGAAGTCTCCAGACGAGCAGTTCTTGACAGATCGCGACATCCACGTTCATATGCCTGAAGGTAGCATTGGGAAGGAAGGTCCCAGTGCGGGGACGGCGCTGCTGACGGCTTTCGTTTCACTGCTGACGAAGACAAGGGTCGACCCTGATATTGGTACGTGTACTATTGGATTGAAGAGTTAGCTCATGTTCTGACACCTGCGGATAGCGATGACCGGCGAGATTTCTCTAGTGGGCCAGGTTCTTCCAGTTGGTGGATTGAAGGAGAAGATCCTCGCTGCCCACCGGGCTGGTATCAAGACCATCATCGCCCCAGGCGCTAACCGTGCCGATATCGAGGAGAACGTCCCGGAGAGCGTCAAGACCGGCATTCGTTTTGTCTACGTTGAGGATGTTACGGAGGTCCTGCACGAAGTCTTCCGCGGACAGCCTATCACGGAACGGTGGAAGGATACACTATTGCTATAATCGCATCCTTTTGTGTTTTCTCTGATTCGTCGGTCTGCCAAATAGACTTCTTCGATGTGCTGTCTGGTCAGCAATATTTGTATCATACAATCAAGAATCCAGCTCACAACCCTGTATTATCCCCACTAATAAGATTTTAGAATGTACTACTACTCTACGGGCAACACGGTCTACTGAAGCACGAAGAAATCTACAGCCACTCGACGGTCTGTAGTATGGAAGTTAGGGCATTGTCGCTAGAGCAGCAGCAGATGTACATACCGCAGGTGGTTTTGAGGATATATCGTAAGTTACTCGATTGATACCAGCAACTTCGTTCGTGATGCGAGAGGATATGCGCCGTAAGACTTCGGGAGGGAACACGAACCTAGAAGCCCTCTGTTACAATAATTCTATTGATACGGTTAATACCACTTACCAGTCTGCAGTCATGAAATCCTCTGACTGTACAGCCCGGAGGGCGATGACCTGTTCGTACGTCCGTTTGTCACCCATGACACCGACAGCCTTGATAGGCAATAGCACCGCGAATGCCTGGCTGATCTGGTTATACAGGCCCGCATTGCGGATCTCTTCGATGTAGATGTTGTCAGCCTGCTGCAGAATTTTGACCTGGTCGCGCGTCACGGGACCGAGGATCCGGATGGCTAGGCCGGGGCCTGGGAAGGGGTGCCGCTGGACGAGCGGGGCGGGGATCCCGAGGAGGCGGCCTAGGACGCGGACTTCATCTGTACACGCCATAGGGTTAGGGGTTATTTATGAAAGACGTGAAAAAACAGACCTTTGAAGAGCTCGCGCAGGGGCTCGATCAGTTTGAGCTTCATGTCCTTGAGCAGGCCGCCGACGTTGTGGTGCGTCTTGATGGTCGCGCTGGGCCCCTTGAAGCTGATACTCTCGATCACGTCGGGGTAGAGCGTGCCCTGCAGGAGCCACTCGATCTTGCCCTTGCGCTCGCCCGACGGCGCGAGCTCCTCCTCCTTCTCGGCCGCGGCCTCGATCTTCGCGGCCTGCTCCTCGAAGACGTTGATGAAGGTGTTGCCGATGATCTTGCGCTTCTGCTCGGGGTCCTCGACGTCTTTGAGCCGCGAGAGGAAGAGCTCTGAGGCGTCGACGACGGTAAGGTTCACGCCGAGCTTTTCGGTGAGCATCTCGTGGACTTGGGCGGCTTCGTTAAGGCGCAGGACGCCGTTGTCGACCATGATGGCGTGGAACCTGAGGGAGTGGAAGGGTGAGCACGATACGAGTGAAAGATGGTGAGGAGTGGAGGACTGTACCTGTCGCCGATGGCTTCGTGCATGAGCTTGGCGGCGACGGAGCTGTCGACGCCGCCGCTCACGGCGCCAATGACGCGCCCCTTGGGTCCGCAAATTTCTCGTATCCGCGCGATCTCCTTGCCGATGAACTCTTCCTACAAGGATTGTCAGGGAACCGAAGGGATATAGATAGGGCCTGCGCACCATAGTCCAGTTGGATTTGCATCCACAGATATTGAGAACGAATCTCCCGATGACCTCTTTTCCTCGTGGGGAATGGGATACTTCGGGGTGGAACTGGATGCCATAGAAAGGCTTCGAATTATGCGCGATCGCGGCGTACGGGGCGGTTTGAGTACGGCCAATGATGTGGAAATCAGTGGGCATTTCGGAGAGTTGGTCTCCATGGGACATCCAGACCTGGAAGTAGCGATTGAGCATATGTCAAAGGTTGACTGCTGTGCGACGCACCTCCATCTCGTCTCCCAGGCCCTCGAACAGGGCATCTACAGAGCTGTTTCCATTCCCGACCTTTTGGACTTGTACTTTTGCAAAGCCGTACTCTCTGTGATCGCATTTAGCGACTTTTCCCTTCAAGTTCCATGCCATTTCCTGTTGCACTTGTGTTAGATGAGGCACACCCTCGGAGGGACGACGAGACGCGCACCTGCAGGCCGTAGCATATTCCAAGGACAGGAACATCCATCTCGAACACCTCTGGATCGACGTGCGGCGCATCATTATCGTACACAGAGTACGGAGACCCGGAAAGAATGATCCCTGTAAAATCGAGCAATCTGAATTGAATCGTTCAAAGAAAGCCTCGCCGCACGTACCCTTCGGTTTCCACTTCAAATCTTTCACCTTCTGCGTGCACGGCATAAGCTCAGCGTATACATTCAGCTCTCTGCACCGCCGGGTGATCAAGTGACTGTACTGCAAGGAAAGTCTTAACAGAGCTGACTCTATCTACGAGTCGTCGTCGGTCTGACCTGCGACCCAAAATCGAGAATCAGAATGGTATCAAACTGGTCGTGTATTTCTGCCATTTCTTAGTTATTCCGGCCAGCGACTAAGGGAAAGCAGATGCTGGTACGAGAGCAGGCAGCAGCAGGCGCGGTACGCGAAAATAGATCTTTGGATCTAATGTATATCGCGACTTTCCCACGTATAGAAGCCGGCGTTGTGGGCGCATATGTACGAGCTTGTTAATGCCAATTACCTGGGCGTTCGCCGTCTGTCTACCTTCGTCTTTCCCGCTTTCATGCAATGGATGCAAGCGGCGCACAACAGCGGAATGATAGAATACTCGCGACGCTGCACGAAAAGCTGAGAGCCGAAAATGTAGGACCATTCTCTGCCGCATGTCATAAGCTCGCTCGTTGGCTCAAGGATCCGAGAGCGTACTATACCTCCGCTCGGCCAAAGGTAAGTCGAGCTTTGAGATTCCATTTTGCGTGGACGGTACGCGGGATGTGGGCGAGCTTAAGCCGGGCGTGACAGGGAAGACGTCGAGGGCAGTAGTGCGGCTCCGAGGGACGCCGTGATGATAGAAGTACTAAGGATCTATGTTCAGGTTGAATGTACTATCCCGTACGCCGTGGAGATTATGTATCATCGCTGGAAGATTTGGGCAACGCTTCTTGTCCCATCCAGAGCGACTCGCGGTGATCCCGGACGTGCGAGTCGGTAGGTTAACTATGGCCTGACCGACTTAGTTTCTCGTATGTTCTCTGGGAGAAGATTTTCAACTGTTTCCATTCATTGCCGCGCACTTGATTTGGGATCCCTGCTAATATTGACGGCTCTAGATAGTCGATCTGCTCGAAACAGCGGCGAACAATGCACGAAAGCACTCGCTGGACCCAACACCAGCCGGGCAATCCTCGAATCGGATAAAGGCTGCTCAGACTTTAGCGGCGGTCGTTCTCCAGCATGCCGACCTTTTCGTTGAACCTGAGCTCAAGCGTACGCCTATCCTTCCTCCAAATTGCTTCAACATTTCTTACTTAATACATGGACAGACCGCCTGGCACACCTGGTCCGCCCTGAAGCGTTTGCTCAGAATATCGTTGCATCCCCGCCGGTACCAGTGCCCAGCCAGCACAGGCCTCGACCCAACACCGAACCATCGCAAGCCCAAGCCCAAGCCCAAGCCCACACCCAACCCCAGCCCCAAGCCGCCCCGCCCCAGCGTTTGGTCCCAACGGCATCCACAAGCAGGGCGGCTCTCACGACCAGCTCTGCTGCTCCTATGCCCCACCAGGTCCCCGCCGCGTCCTCGTCATCCCGTCCCGTGTTCGCGGTCAATGCCACCCTGGCCATCCGCCAGCAACAGCGGCACGCCATCCAAGAGCGAAGGTTCAGCCAGCCCACGGACATCGCTCCGGCTCTCTCTCCGTACCCCTCCCCATACGTGTACTACGCGTCTCCCCCGGCATCTGGGATCTTCCCGCACCAACATCAACAGCAAGTGACGATGCCTGCGCCACAACCGCAACGGCATGTGCACGCAGCAAGGCCGCATCTGCCCGCGAACGCGAACATGTATCCGCACGTGGATCCATACGCGCAAACACACGTCCAGTCTCATCCGGCGCATCACCCTCAGTCGGGAACTGCAATGCCTACAACACCCGTTCCCGCAGGGTCTGCAACACCCGTTCCCGCAGTGTCTACAACACCCGTTCCCGCAGTGTCTACAACACCAATCCAGGCCGCCGCTACAGCACGCGGAAGCCCAGAACATCCAGAACCACAACTTTCACGGACAAAGCCCGCGAAGCGCGCGCGCACGTTGGATCAGCTGGCCCGGCTCGACGCCGAGTACTGCCGGACGCAGAAGCAGAGGCCGGCGTCACCGGTCCTCGATAATTCGCCGCCTACCCAGTCTCCCGCGTTAGTGAGCTCACCCGCACCAGAGACTCCGCCGCCCTCCAGCCCTCCAGTACCCCGCCAGCTGAGCGCGAGGAAGAGCGCCCGGATGGGTACGAGGAGGCGTGGGCCACCCAAGGCGTCACGGGAGAGTGCGGGCCCTGCTACGGTCTCTGCGCCTGAGACGCACTTGCTGAGGGATTGGGCGGCTGTACCCGTGGAGGAGATGATTGACTACTCTGGGGGTTTCGTGGCCGCACCTATGGCTGAGGTCAACTCAGCAGCTACAGCTACCGCGGATACTGCAGTGATGGTGGAGGCTGGTGTTAGTCGGGATAGCCAACCGAATCGTGTCACTCCTGCACATGATAGAAAGGCCATGGATGTGGACGCATACACCGAGAGTGCCCGTGATGATGCTGAGGACGCTACAAAACTTACTGGTGACCCTCGCGGTGCCGTACTGCAGTCCGAGAAGGTGGACACCCATAAGATGCTGGTCGAACGTGCCGAAGATACAACGGCTCTGGATGTTGCTACTGTCAGGGGCTCTGGGGAAACCGAGCCAGCACCCCAGTCCGTTAAGGAAGCACCGTCCCTCGAGGACACTCAACATGTTGGCGTTACTAAAGCGATGGTTGAACCTGCTGAAGATACAACGGCTCCGGATGCTGCTGCTGCCGGCGGGCCCGGAGGAACCGACCACGCAGCGGAGACGGATGGTGAAGCACCTGCCCCGTATCTCGAGGGCGCCGATAAGATGTTACTCAATCATGTGGAAGATGCAACCGCTCCGGACGCTGTTGCTGTCGGCAGTACTGAAGGAGCCCCTGCGGCTAACGAAGCACCGTCTCTCGAGGCAATTCAAGATGATGCGGTTGATAAAATGGCAGTTGAATCTCCTGAAGATACAATGCCTTCGGGTATGGCTACAGTCAGCTCTGAAGTCGCAAGGCTCGGAGTGCCGACAGCACAGGCTTCGTCTTGCGAATACAATGGTCAAGACATGGTGACTTCGGGCGATGCTTCAGCGAACGGCTATGGGGTCATTAGTCACGAAACTCGAGCAGCCAGTGAAGCACCGGCTGTCTCTCTGAAACACGTCGATAAGATGATGGTCGAACCTGTCGAAGATGCAATGACTTCGGACGTTCCTCTTGTGAGCGACTTTGGGGCAGACCAACAAAAAGTCCAGGTGGCTAACGGGAAACCGGCCGCGTCTCTCGAAAGGGCTGATCACATGGTGGTAGAACCTACCGAGAATCCAATTACTTCCGATTCTGCTGCAGTTAGCGCCTTTGGACCAACTACAGAAGCGCCGACTCTCGAGAATAATCAGTCTGGTGCCGATGACGAAATACTGATTGTACCTGCCAATAATACAAGGACCCGAGACGCTGCTGCAATCAGTCGTTCCGGCGCGACTGAACACGGAATTCAGGCAACTACCGAAGTGCCATCCCTCGAGATTACTCAAGATGCCTCTATATTATTATCATCTGCAGACACCCCTGGCCAAGGCGAGGCGTCACAATTGCACGAGAAGGACGTAGACAGTGACACCAGTGCTATTGGACTTGCCCGCAACGCCGTTTCTGAGCCTCCAGATGGCTTGGACGCTGGTGAAATACTGGAAGAACCTAGCAAAGGCGAAAGCGCAACGGTCTTTGTTCCTCGTGCTCCAGCGCTTGAATTCTCGCAGATAGGCGGGGAGCCTACCGCCGGGCACACTCAAGTTCCGATTGTGTGGCAAAGTGACACGCTAACCCAATGGGTGGCGGCGGACCCTGTGGACCCTGTGGCAAGTACACTTGAGGAGGTAGTCGGTCCCTTAACATCTGCGGGACACTCTCCTGCCCATATTGAGTCGACCCGCGACGTGGTTCTCGAGACTGCAGGTAGCTTGGATGCTAATGAGATGATGGTAGAGCCCGGCAAAGGCGAAAGCATCATAGTCGCCGATTCTCGTGCGGCCCTGTTTAAGTCGTCGCAAACAGGTGAAAAGCTCACTGTCGACGACACGCAAGTTCCGGTTTTGTGGCAAAGTGAAACATTAACTCGATGGGTGGCGGAGCCTGTGGAACCTGTGCCTGAAGAAGAGCCTGGCGTCTCGGCATTTGCAGACCTCGCGGTTCCTCGTACTGAGTCTGCAGACAACGTTGCTCCCAAGTCTGCAGATATCTTGGACGCTGACCAGATGTTGGTAGATCCTAGCGAAGGCGAAAGCACCACCGTCGGCGATTCTCGTGTGGCTCTCGGCGACGCTCAGGATTCTACTGTGTGGCGGGATGAAACCCTAACCCAATGGGTGGCGGCGGAGTCTCTGGCACCTGTGGCACCTATTCTTGAGGCAGGACCCAGCACACCGCTCACTGATTCTCAAGTTCACTCCACTACCATGTCGGCTCTAGCTTCCGCCACTCACGCGCCTAACACAACGGATGAGATCTCAGTCGGTAGCAAGAGGCCACGATCTACCACTCCTGAGGTACAAGACAAAGACGCCGGCAATGGCGAATTAACCACCGGAGGGCAGAATGTGGCCTTTTCGGATGAGATCCATGTCGGCTGTAAGAGGCCACGGTCGTCCACTCCAGAGGTACCGGGCAAGGACGATAACGAAGCTACTGGAAGAGCATCTACTGGAGCCGAGAACGGCACCACCTCGGATGAGGTCCATATCGCTAGAAAGAGGCTACGGTCTACCACTCCAGAGCCACAGGCAAAGGACGATCATTTAGCCGGAGAGTTACCCACTGGAGCACCGAATGGTATCATCTCGGATGAGGCGATGTCCCAGCAAGCAGGGCCAGTGGTAAATTCATCTGTCGATCCCACCATTACGCATGACCTGGAGAATCGGCCTCTGGCCGAGCCGTCGACTACTTCGGGCACGAGCGAGGATTTGTCGGGGCCAATAGCACCGCAAGCTCTGGAAGACGAGCGACGCTCCCAACCACCTGCACAGGCGATATTGACTGTATCCGCTCCTACAGCACCTAGTTCTGATGCTCGTATCGAAGAGGAAGAACACGATTTCATAGAGAAGCCCGAGGGCATGTCGAGTGTGGCAGCGGAAGCTGGCGATATAGCCGTCGCACAGGAAGCCGCCGCTCCCGAATCGCTGGATGTGGCAAGTCGGGAAAAGGACGAAGAGGTCAAAGATCTCCCGCAAACAGGGACAACTGAGGAAGGGGAAATCACTACACCTCCCGCTGTCCACGATCCCCTCCCACCTGAGGCAAAGCCTTCACACGTGGTCACCGTGGCTGAAGATGTATCAATGCACACGGACGATGCCTCATTGTTACACCCCGACGGTATTCCCGCCAGCATTGTTGCAGTTGACCCCGACTCGCAGGTTCCACTTTCTGCCCCAGGGCCCTCAGCTGCATCTCCTGCGTCGATCCTGTATGCTCTGAGTTGCGCGACTGGGACTCGGCAGCATATTCTTGACTTCATCCTGAAACCCGATGACTATGCAGCCGTCCAGCGTTGGGCGCACCGCAAGTCCATGCTGGATGACAGGTCAGTCTGTCAGTGCTGCAGGAGCCGTAGAGCTGACATTCCTCTCAGCTTCACGGACGGCATTTGCCTCAGCTTGGCGTGCTATCGCCTTGAAGACCTTGCCTCCGTCTTAAATGGTGTTGACAGCATAGGCACAGGAAACTGCAATAGCCTTCCCAAGGTCGAGTGGCCCAGGACCGGGTGTATGTGGACAGTCATCAACGGAGACGAACGTAAGGGGTTAGTATACCTCGTTCCCCAGTACTCTGTGAGTGCTCTGAGTACGTGTCACCAAATAACTTGTCATTAACAGGACGTATCTTCACGATACCAGGCGAATGAAGACAAGCTTGTCGATATCTCCTCGTACCTGAGACAAGGTGAAAATATGCTAGAAATTTCTTATGATGGGAATATGTCGGATTATGCAGTCGTCCTCCATGCACATCATCCCACTCCGTCACAAATCGGAAAAGAGGAGAAAAGGCGAGAGAAAGACCGGGAATGGGCTGAGTTCCTCAAAGAATTGGCACAACCACCTAAACTACGGAAATTCAACTGGGTCACGGGGGTGTTTGAAGATGAATGATTGCTCTAATTTATAACATACCCAAATTTAATGCCTTTCCTTTACGTTTGAATACCTTGTACAGTTACTCACCAACATATATAACTGCTATGTATGTGGCCACAGGGGATGCGTGACCTAGCGCGTTTGTGATGTGTGACGAGCGTGCTTCCAATGCCAGACGCGTCGAAGCTTCCGCCACAATTTCCTTGAAATCGTTCGCCACGTTCCACTACCTGTCGCGATGTCTACCCAGGCTGCCAATGACTATCTTACAAAGAAACTGACGATAACCAAGGGCATCGTAAGTTGCGGCGCGAAGAATGGAGTTCAGCACTGAAATACTGCCCAGGTTACGTTTCGGTCACTGTCTAGAGATCTGAAGATCCATGTCAGTTCAGCGAAGACGTGAGCCTCTCTAACATGATGGATCCGGTGAGCTTTGCTGAGCGGTAACTGCCTTTTCCAGAGAACTTGCGTCGTTTCACGCTGCTTCACGCGAATCAGGTCGACCCGTACATGCTACCTATATAATCACCGGAGAAGTAAGCCGACAACCGCTCAATAGCGAAGACGATGGTGAAATGGAGGCTGATGATGAAGACCAGGGATTCGAAGATGGTGCGATGAAGCAGATGAAAGTGCTACTGGTCGGAGAAGGGGATGTCGAAAGTACGTCCGTAGTCCGCACCCGGATTCCTTCTTACCCTTACGGCATCTTATAGAGTCGAAGTCTCAGTTCTCGCGCATTCTCTCCATGCATGTTTATAGCCTTTCTCCTGCTAGGCCTCAGGTCGGCATGCATAATATCGTTGTTTCTCTGACCTGACCCAAACCATGGCAGGATGCAGCATTGATCTGCGAGCCTACTGAGAGCGTCCGGCAGGCGGATGCGAAGAATGGTCCTGAGGTTGCTGCTGCTCTCGGCAGGATTGTCGGTGCGGATGTTCAGGTGAGCTATCTGCTTCAGTCCATCGCAGTCAGATCTTAGTCCGCCGAACTGCTTTCAGATGAGGGCTACAGGGAAGAAGGGGAAGCAACCTGCCGCTTCGTCTTCAATCAAGAAGGCGTCAGCTCCCGCGACTCCGGTGGTTTCCAAGCTCGTCGAACCGAAGTCTGCTGGAGCAAAGACGGATAAAGATAAGGATAAGGCGTGCCCCACCAAAGATGAAGTAGAACTTAGTACGAGTGATGTCAAAGAAGAAGTTGCACCGGAGCCGGAGAAGAAAAAGGATAAATCCAAAGGGAAAAGCATGGCAGACTGGATGAAGTCGCAGCCGAAAGAAACCAAGAAGCAAGAGAAGAAAGCTGAGCCTAAGGATACAAAGCCGATAACACACAAGACGGAGACAGCGACCAAACCAGAGTTAAAAGCGAAGTCGGAAGACGAGAAGAGCATAACGAAGGACGAGCACAAGGCGCCTCCTAAGGTTGGTACACATATTTACTAACTATACCATGCCCACTGACTTGTCCTGGTCCTAGCGTGGCATCAAGCGCAAGTCGGCTGTCGGAACGACAAATTCCGATTTTGAGGAGAAGTCTCCCAGCCAAGCCGGTTCCTTGCCTGTATCCAGGCCGCCCACCGAGTCGGCGGGCAAGGTAAAAGTAAAGAAAGGGGTTCTTTTATCTGACGACGAGGACGATACGCCCAGACTTAGTAAGAGCAAGGGCAAGGGCAAGGCTAAGGCCTCAGTAGCGGAAATGGACTCTGAGGCGGAGAAGAGCCTCAAGGCCATGATGGACATAGACGACGGTCTGTCTGCTTCCGCCTTGAACCCTACTATGATCGCTAACGTGGGCACGTCCTACGATATAGAACAAGTAATCAAGGCATCCCGGTCTGCGCCCGAGGAATCAGCGCAAGACGAGGATGTCGACATGGCTGAGGCTGCCGAGGAAGAAATGAAAGCACCCGAACCCACCAAATCCAAGCCAAGGAAGAAGAAGGAGAAGAAAGAGGTTCCGGTGGGACGGAATGGGTTGAAGAAGAAACGGGTCGTGAAGAGCCGGATGAAGATAGATGAGAAGGGCTATATGGGTGCGTTCCTCCGCAGTCTTATTGCATCACTGTGTCAATATCCGGGTGCATAGTGACCGAGGACTACTCGTCGTACGAGTCCGTAGACGAGGAAGAGCCAGAAACACCACCTCCAAAGTCAAAAGGGAAGTCCAAATCCAAGGCCCGTGTCACAGAGGATGCAGAAGAAACTGAAGGCAAGACGAAACCGAAGGCTTCCGCGCGCGCGAGTGAAGGGGGACCGAAGCCCGCTAATAATGGTCGGCCTTCGGCGAGTAGCAGGAAGGCTAGTGGGCAGCAAGGTCTGGCAAATTTCTTCCAATCAAAGGCCAAGAAGTAATGGCCTCCTTTCGCGCCAACTGCTGAATTGAGACTATATTCTGCTCGAGTTGAAGGGAGTTATCTAGCTTTTGGGATCATGTCGTTCCGCCTTGTTTCATGGTTTGTCCTAGGTAGCGTTGACGAGCGCCGATTCAGAGCAATGTTAGGAAAGCACAGAGCAAGATGAGATATATGGATACAGAGTAGATAATGATACATTTTAAGTCCAGGACTTCACACCACCTCCGCCACTACGGGCTCCTTCTCGTCCTTGGCGGAACTTCCATCTTCGCTTGAAACATCGCCGTCTTTCTTGGACTCGGACTCCGTGGCCTGAACTCTCGACTCTTGCACGCTTAATGCCCTCCTCCTGCCAAGGAAGACTTTCCCGCCAGGCGCATCCTGTACGCTCCTCAGCACCAGGTCCTTCTCGAACAGATACTTGATATCCTCCAAAGCGTAGCCCGTCGTCTCCGGCAGGAGGAAGTACGCCCACGCGGCCATGATGAGGCACAGCATTCCAAACAATAAGAACGTCCCGTACTTGATTGAATTGAGCATGATCGGCGTGATCTTCCCGATCGTGAATGCAAACAGCCAGTTCACTGCGACGGCGACGGCTAGCGCGGCGGTCCTGACATGGTTCGGCGCGACCTCGCCTGCGACAACCCAGGGCACGGGTCCCCACCCGACGCAGTAGAACACAGCGTAGAGGTAGACGGCGACAATGGAGACGTAGCTCGCGGGGACGACATCGTTGCCGGGGTGAACGCCCTGGAAGCCGCCGATCCAGAGCATCATCACGCCCTGGCCGAGCCCGCCGTAGATGAGGCAGCGCTTGCGGCCCATGCCCTCAACTGCGAAAGTGCAGACGAGCCCGACGGCGATGACCTTGACGATGCCGTACACGCCCGTCGCGAGCAGCCCTGACGTCGTGCCCGAAATGCCGAGCGCCGCGAAGATCTCGGGCGAGTAGTAGTTGATTGCGTTCGTGCCCGTCCACTGCTGGAAGAACATGACGAGCGAGGGGATGAAGCAGCGCAGGGCCGTAGTCCACGACTCGCCCATCATGCGGAACTGCTTCCAGACGGAGTCCCGCGGCTTGCCGGCGAAGTCGGCCTGGATTTCCGCGAGGGTGGCTTGGACGGCGGGGTCGTCGATTGCTTTGCCAGCTGCGAAGGCAAGGGACCTTGCGGCGCGGTCGTATTTGCCGTGCTCAACGAGCCAGCGGGGGGACTCGGGCTGGAAGAGCATGAGGACGATGAAGAGCGCGCCTGGGACTACTTGGACGGCGAAGGGCATGCGCCATTGCATGTCGCCGTAAGGTACGTTCAGGCTCGAACCGTAATTGACCCAAACTAGGAAGACGGAAATTAACAAGCGCGACACCACTTCCGGACAGTAGACGTACAGCTTAGCATGATTCCAACATTGTTAGCGAACTGGATCATCGCCGTACATCTTCCTCGGATCGTCCGGGGGACGGATTCCGACACATATGAAGGCACCAGCGCAGACTCCATGCCTACTCCTACTCCCCCCAGGAAGCGACCGAAATAGAGCAGACGCAGCGCGACCGTCTGGCTCATTCCCAGTCCGCATATCGTCTGTATGATGCTGCCAACGATGTACACCACCCCTGACGCGAGCAGGACTGGTTTACGCCCGAATACACCGGAAAAATAGCCGGTGAACAGGGCACCGAAGCTGGTTTCACGCATTAGCGTCTGGAAGGTGCCGAGATAGCAAGTGGTAGTACTCACAAACATCCTGCTTGCAAGACGGCTACGATATTGCCTTGCAGGTTAGCTTTTGCTGACGACGATATATTATGCAGTCCAAAATACGCCTGGAAGGAGGGTAATGATAGAATGCCGCCAATCAGACCTATATCCCAGCCGTAGAACACAGAGCCCATAGATGCCGAGAACGCCAGTGCGTACGCATGGCGGTAGCTGTACGCCAGGCTCATCTCATGCTTGAACCCCATGGCTGCTCAGGCTACGACGTCGAGAGCGAAAGCGAAAGCAGTTGAGGACGGGGCAAGCTCTCCATTTTAAAGCCAGAGAGCCAGTTGCCCCGGCCCCCCGGCAGAATCGTGCGGGGTCAGCTGGCCTCTAATCGGTGTGCGTGCAATTTAGCGCGTCTCCGGACCCGCTCGAGTAGAACGCTTACCGTGATGCCAAGATTAGGCTCAGGGGGCAGGGGAAGTGGAACGCCGTCGAAATTGCGAAGTAGTGATATGACGAGCTCTTGGGATATGAAGTGGTGGGGTGGGCGTTCTAAGTTTGTTGCCACAGCTCCCACTCCTGGAAATCTCGAACTCACTATAACTTTCTTGTTGGCTAAACCGCTGCTATTTGTGCGCTCGTAGCGGACCGGAACGCGTACGCAGTGCGTATATATGTCGGTGTTCTCCCAGAAGACAGTCTTAACTGAAGTAGTGGCTGCCCCCTCACATGTGCACTGGCTGCGAACTGGCGTTATAACTTATACATACTCACAGATCCCGCATATGTGGCAATCAGCTGCCCGCCGATCCTGCTACGAAAATAGTAGAGTTCTGCTTCTGATCGCTGGGAATAGTACCGCTATATCGACCAGCGTTCTGGTCATCAGATGCATCATTGACAGATACTCAACGTTTGATTCGAATTCTTGCCAGTCGGGACCGTCCCATTCACAGGGCAAGGATCAGGGAAGGGTCTCAGTCCCGGCGAGTGTTTGTACAACCAATCAGACTTGCACCGCAGCTCCGGGCCGGTACGTCAACTGTTGAATGTCTCGTGGTCCAGCATTGGTGTCCAGCGACGATCAGTGTAACCCGTGGTTGTATCATCCCATTGACCAACATGATTACTGACTGGGTCGAGCCAAGCAAACCTTATGCCACAGACTCCGCGTACGGATACCGCGACGGTCGCGCTGCAAAGCTCTCGCCCAGCAGCGTGCCACACCCCGAGTTAAAACTCATAACTATCAGTATGATCGTCGCCACCAGCGACATCCAGACCTATGTATCAGCTCTCATCAGCACGTCCCACGCACCACCCAAGCAATGAGAAAGCGATACTTACCGCAGGACCAAGGCGTGCAGCATACCCTGCCGCGTGAAAGCGGTTCATCGCAATGACGAACAATGCGATCATACAGATGAACGCAAGAAACGCCGTGAAGGCTGCGGCGACCATGAGCAATGAGTATATAGGGAAACTGTGCAGCCGTATCGCGCGCGTGCAGAGCAGCGGGATCAGCGCAAGCGTGGCGAAGAATGCGAAGATAGCCGCTATAATAAGTGCAGCGAGTGCCAGGTTCATGGCGCTGATTGGGGCACAAGGGAAAGAAGGGTACGCACAGATAGGGTAGAATACGAGAAGGTAAGTTAGCCCATGGACGATCTGAGGGTTCCAGTCGAAGCCTAGTCTACGAGCCAAGGATGTTCAAGTTAGAAATCTTCACGAACAGGTGCACTGACACAAACTATATTCTCACTTTACCGGGCTAATGCAGAGCGTGTCATCGTCGAGACACCAGCCCCAGAGGCCGAACCTGACTCCCCCCGCGATGGAGGAGTGCAGGAAATAGAATGACGATACGAACGGCACCGAAAATGTAATCAGGATGCTAACACCATGTATCAGAAGGTATTGTTATGGGATATCGACTCGGACTGATGACTTACAGTAGCACAAAAGATCCAAATGTCAAGACGAAAACCGGGAAAGCAGGATTGTTGTAAGTCATGATATAGAGCACGTTAATTTCGTAAAATAGTCGTTAAATGTCCGGCTCTGATTCAGAGTCTTTCGCTTGTAGTCTTCAACAGACGCCGCTTGCAGTATTATTTTCAAATTCAAGACAGCAGGCCTCAGCATGCATCAAGTCCTTCGAGGGCATGTAAATGCCGTTGAATGGAAGCAGACTGCACTGTTCTACGTGTCAATTCTAATGAAAGTCGAGGCGCGTCGGGGGTAAGGTCACGTGCTTGCGCCACAATCGCGTCGAGAGCATGCACATGTACAGAGAACTCCAATCATGAAGTGGAAACGTGTTTGGCAAAAATAAAATAACATATGCGAAAGCAAGTATGGACATGGGGAACACACATGGGGGTAGGCAGGGATTGGGTTGGGTTGGGTCGGGAACAAGGAAGCAAGCTAATATTACAAAGATAGACAGACAAAATTCTCTCTCCTCCTCCATACTTATATGACAGTTGAAGATAGAAACAAACAGGATCCTGGCCGTTCATGGTCCATAGAGCGGATAGCGCAAGAAGTGACTTGACCTGCCAATCGAATAGATAGATAACAATGCGAGGCCTTGACGTTGAGGCTACAACAAGTTTGATCGGACTTGTGCTTGCTTGGCGGAGGTGTCGTACAACAGAGTCCATTCACCATAGTCCTTGCATGCGAATAAAATTAATCTTGACATGGTCCTCGTCAAAGTAGATGCGAGCATTAAATAGGCTTTCAAGACTTCTATGGTTGCTTCAGGGAAACGTCGGAACGCTCTCTCCTCGGCCGCGTCCGTCAACTCGGCATGAACCCCGCCGCGAGCGCACCCCCGAGGGGCGCACTATGCCCGCCGCTATCGCGGCTCTCCTGTTCGAACAGCTTCTTCGCCGGCCGCGGACCAGGCGGGACAGGTTTCGTCTCCAGCGCCTTCATTGGCGTCCGCGGCGACGGCGACATGTTCACAAACTCGTGCATATTGAAATTACCAGGGGTGGGCGGGGCGTGCTGGTACTGCCTGGGGTCGGACGGGAATATCGACAGCGAAGACGACGACCGCGGGTGCGGGGACGGCGGCGGCGGCGGCAGCAGGCTCGCCGGGGTCAACGCATTACCTGGACGAGCGTCCTGTTCGCTTGGGATCTGGCTGCTACCGCCGTCCGTGGACTGCGACTGCGTCTCCGCGGGCGCAATCACAGGAATCGTGTCGGAGAAGCTGCCATTTTTCGTCAACGCCTTGCCCCTCCTTGCATTCTCGCTCGGGGCGCCCTCTGCACTTGCTTGGGAGCCCGAAAAATGTATCGCGCGCGAACCGCCGCCGCCGAGCTCGCCAAACGACGCTCGATGCAGCGCCTCTCGGCTCGCCTGCGGCCTGGCACGCACGGGTGACGGCGAGGTCGCGAGGATGAGCATGTACTCGGCGGCCTCCTTATCAGTCGGCGCCGGTCTCTTCGGAGTATCAGCAGGGGGTGGAGGGGACGTCTGGGACGGCGGGGGCGTCAGGGGGTGTTCCGTCGCGGACGACCCCGCCGTGGCAGCCTCGGTGGTCGTCCGCGCCGAGCTCTGTGCGTACTGCGGAATCGACGCGTCAGAGGCAGCGGAGAAGCTGGAGCGGGGCGACGCGGCGCTCGTCGACACCGACGCGCGCAGGAACGACGCTAGCGTCTGCGCGGCGTTCGTGAGATCTGGGTCGTCCATCGTGGTCGAGACGCTCGCGGAGTCATCGCCCGCGCCCCGCTCCTTCTCCTTGCCCTTGCCCTTGTGGGTGTGTCTCTCCTTGCTCCTACCTCGGTGGTGCCGCGACCGTTTGATGTCGGGGTGACTGTGCGTGCGCGTGCGCGGGGCAGCGGCTTTGCGGACGCTCGGCGCGCGCGACGCCACAGGCGCAGGGGGCGCACTCGGGTTGCGGATGGTCCTGGCGTGCTTCGGCAGAGGCGCGCCAAGGAGCGCTGCGAATAAGCTGTGTCCGCTGTTAGCGGATCCGCCCTGACCGGACGACGACGTGCGTGTCACTGGAGGCGGGGGTGCCATCTGCCCGGGGCGTGGCGTCGACATTGCGAGGGATCTAGGGGTCTGAGGCGCAGAATTATGGGTGAATGTAGTCACCTTCCGCTTGGAGGGGACAGATCGCGCGTAAGACGCCGCTTGTGTCTTTACTTCAAGATCATGGATGGGTAGGTGTGATACGCGGTTACTAGCCTTGTACGAAGCGTACGCAAGACGAGAGCGTAGGTCAAATGTGAGCTGTAGAGCATAAAAACGATTAGTGATCGGCAAGACACAAATGGAATGTTGGCAAGTAAGACTGAGAAAATTCTCTTCAAATTGTCTGGCTCGCTCTTCTACGACGGATCCCTCCCCTCCTCACGGACGCCACGACGCGCAGAGACGCGTCGCCTCGCCAATATACGGATAGGAAATACTCACCTTGGATATTTCCGCCCGCGCAATAAATTTCGTGATAGCACTATTCCGGTCCTCAGCTTCGGCATCGTCGACAGTAGAGCCCTCCGATGTGGCAGAGGGCACAGGGCCCGCCTCAAGATAGGCCAGGGGTGGTGATTGGGTAGTAGCGGAGGATGAGGGCGACGCCATGGGACGCGTCGTGTTCGTCGTCGGGAGTAGTATGTCGGTCGCCAACGAGCGCAAGAACGGGGACGGCGTTGCCTGGCGGTCGCGTTCGACGTGTGAGACGACGCGGACGGGTGTATCAGCAACCCCCTCAAAGCGCGTCAAGTCGCGCGTTCCGGTTCGGCACTCTTCTCCGCCGAACCGCTTTCCGCATTCGGCCGTTCTCGGAGGTTCTCCGGGTTCCCGCCCGCTCGGGTAAAGTGTGCGATCGAATATAAAAACGCGTCCGCATTGGTACGCGTGCCCTGGGGACCCGGGATAGCTCGCCCTAGCATTTTTCGCCTGTGATCAGCCATATGAGGCTGAAATTGAGCAGGACGAAAGCGGGGAGACTGCGTCTATCGTGGTTAGTACTCCAGACGGTCTTGAGTCTTATCCCATGGTAGTTCACCCGGTGGCATGTAGAAATTCCGAAAGGAGCCAGAGAATTGGTGATTCTGCAGCGAACGGTACGGTTTGCTGTGGATGAGGATGTGGGTGTGTAATTCGAGTAGTCAAGTGCTTACTATAGGTAGAAAATGGGGCTCAACAATGCAGCAAAGGCATGCGATGAGTCGTACAGTGGGATCATGGATCCAAAAGGAGTAATTACCACTCCATACATGGGCAACATCTCGTGGATGTGGCGTTGCGCCTTTGGTAAGTAAAGGTCGTAAGCTCCTGCGCTTTACAGTATGCTCAACCGCATAAGAAGCGGTAGCTAAATAGTGCACGGTGTTCTCTTACTGGTTCAATGAGACTGAATTAATGGGAGGTAAGTATTGTCCTAGACTTACTGGGGCTTGATGTATCGAGGATGGGTTAACCTTCAGGGTTAGATTACTCGATCATGCGTGTTGTGTTCTTACAGTACCAGAGGAATAATTCAATAAGCAGAGTCTGAAGTTATATGGTTAACTCGCGCGATACGAGAGAGACTCGGTGAGATGTCTGGGGTCCTAGTGCTACAATACTATAATACATTCGACCTCCTCCTGGCACCATGGCCAACTGTCCGGTCTGACTCTACATTCTTGCACTGCCAATGCATAGCGTTCTTCGCTGGCACTGACATTTTGTGAGTCCTGAAACTTTCAAGTCGAGCTCCGGGATATGGTCGGCGAAGAGACGCGGTAGAATGTTCATGTGATCATGGGCAGCAGGACCTTCCAGATACGCTCATCTTCCCGACTTCCCTGAGCACTCGGGTCCTCTATACGGGCCTTGTACCGGGCTCATTCTTCGTCTATAACGATGCCTATGCCTATTGTCTGGAGGACGCGTTTCTCTGGACTGTGCCGGCGCGCGCTTTCGAGTCACGCAGGCACACCGCGCAACCCGATAGCTGCCACATTCCTGCGGGGCGGCACCTCCAAAGGCATCTACTTGAACCGCGCTGACTTGCCCGTGGACAAGTCTGAATGGGATCACATCGTCCTGGGTATAATGGGCTCCCCAGACCCGCAGCACGGCCGTCAGCTGAATGGGATGGGTGGGGGCGTATCAAGCCTGTCCAAAATCTGCGTCGTCGGGCGCCCCACCCATTCTACGCCCGATATCGATGTCGAATATACATTCGCGCAGATTGGCATCCGGGACGCCACGGTCGACTATTCGGGGAACTGCGGGAACCTTTCCAGTATGATTGGCGTCTTCGCTGTAGACGAGGGGCTATGCACACCGAAGCTGGTCCAGGATGGGCCCGGCGGGCATTCTATCGCCACCATCCGATCTTTCAATACTAATACGGGGAAGCGCATCGATTCTTCATTCCCTGTCACTCGGGAGGGGTTGATCCCCGTCCTGGATCTTCCGCAGGCCACTGTAGCTGGAGTTCCTGGACGGGCTTCGCAAATCACTCTGGACTTTGTTTCGCCTAGCGGTGCCAGGACAGGGAAACTCCTTCCGACTGGCAATCCTGTCGATACTGTCCAGGTACCCGCTTCTGAGCCAGGCTCGAAAGGGAGGGTGCGGGCATCCTTAGTCGACGCCACAAATCCTACTGTATTCATTCCGTTGGAAGACTTACGGACAGCTCTGGATATCCATGACGAGGATTCAGTCAACTACGATGAACCCCCCGTCTCGAAACTCATCGAGATCATCAGGCAAGAAGGCGCCAGGCACATGGGATTGGATCCATCCGCCCAAGCTCAACCGAAAATCGCTATTCTCAGTCGCCCCGAGGCGGACGACTTAGAAGCTGACATTGTTGTTCATGCTTACTCCATGGGCGTCCTGCACAAAGCCGTCCCAATGACCCTGGGCCTCTGCTTAGGCGTCGCAGCGAAAGTGAAGGGCACTTTAGCCTGGGACATTGTGCAGGAGTCGCGCAGGGGTCCGAGGGATCTTCTGACTATCCGCCATCCCGGTGGGACGGTGGATGTTGGTGCGGATATGACTCTGGGTGGGGAAGTGAGAAGCGCGAAGGTTGTCAGAACGGGTCGAAGGTTGATGAAAGGTGTGGTATGGTGGTGAGATTGTGGGCGATTCGGACCTTGCTCCGGGCTAGTGGTGCAGTGCAGATATATTGCTATTTCACGTACATGTCCCTCCAGGAGAGGACATTAGGCAATATAGACCTCACAGAGGTGATTCTCATATCGTCTCGATGGTCTAATGGTTATGATTTGCGTCTCACATTGTGGCCACGCAAGGTTCCCAGTTCGATCCTGGGTCGAGACACTTTTGCTTAACTTGAGTTAGTTAGGCTCAACATAATTTGCTTTTTGCATTTCCACCGAAGTTTGAGGAGTAAAGTATGAGGCCTGTGCATGCTCAGAACTCGTTTGTAATGGCCATGCCGGCGCCTATTCTGACTCACTTGCAACATGTACAACTATACTTGTCTCTCTACCTTGTTCTGCCCTGCTGCCTGTCTGACTTCCAGTCTTGCCGCGACTCCTTGCTGAACCTGTGGAGAACAGAAGTGGACAGTAAAGATGACTTCTTCGCTGCGTAATTGGTTGTGGTCGGGCCTGTCAATGTCGCCAGCGCCGCCTGCACCAGCTCCCGAACCTACACCCTCAGTGGAGGTCGTCGAGCCCCAGGACGATTCTGATGACGAAACGGTCAAAGATGAACACTCTGACGACGACCAGCCGCCTGCGTTCCCCGCTCTCTCGAGCGCTCAGCGTGCAGGACCATCGTCTGTACCGCGGATCCTCACAGATACCGAGCTGATGCCACCCCCGCCTCAGCCCTCGCTGGCGAGCCGGAATCCGGGGCTCTCTGCACCCAAGTCGTCTGGGAGCAATCTGCTCGCGCTCCCACCGAGCACGACGAAGCCGCCCGTGAGGCCGTCGAGCAAGCGGGAAAAGGTGGCGCTCGCGCCTGGGTATGGCCCCCTTGACTGGGCGAAGCTCAAGTCTTCCGGGCAGAACTTGCGGGTGCGTCACCTGCATTTGCTTGCGAAGCTGGGGCTTACGGCGTGCGACAGGGTGTTGATATGCTCCTCCGAGTCCCGCCGTCTGAGTTAAAGAAGCACAACAAGCTAGACGATGCGTGGACGGCGATTAATGGGAAGGTGTACAATATCACGCGTTACCTGCCGTTCCATCCTGGTGGCGAGAAGGAGCTGATGAGAGTGGCTGGTCGGGATGGCACGAAGTTGTTCAGTGAGTCTACGCCTATGCTTCGTATTCTTCAGTTCACTCATGAAGATACTAGTGCTCACACACGCATGGGTCAATGCGGACTTCATGCTGGACAGCTGTATGGTCGGCTTTCTGACCTCGGAGCCGTTATAGACATAACTTAGCATGCCGACACATCATTAATACTAGAAACATCTTTATTTATTGTCCAAATTGGAATCATCTCTTGTTACTTCGGGTACTGCAATATCTATAGCGCCATTAATCTCTGCAATTGCTATGTATGCAACTCAAAGCATCATACACATGACAAGCTGTATCACGCAGAATGATAGTTCCGGTCAAGATATAATTTTATGTGGCCACCCACAGGCTCGCGGCGTCTACTCTGTCTGCCTTTTTATCCCCAGCGCGTGTACGGTGTGCTTTGAAAGCTGTGAAGTCTCACTTCATCCTCAGTGTTCACAGACGCCCTGCTCTTTCGTGCAACATTCATGTATAACACTCTGCGTTCATAAGATTGACTCTCAGAGCTATGGCGTACGAATTGGACCGCTCTCGCCCGTATTACTCCCGCTCGCCGCAATCGGCCTACCCAAGGCGGCGTCCATACATGCCACCTTACCACGATGAAGAACCGCCAAATTCCCCCACGGGAGACAACTCGCTGCTCAGCCGCATCGCGCCGCCGCATGTTCCCCTATTGTACAGGATCGGCATGAAGGTGGAAGAGCAGGAGCCTGAGATACCGGAACCCCTGCGGGAATGGAGGCCAGGCCCGAATTGGGCGCCGAAGCCGCAGAAGGGGAAGGGCGACGAGAAGGAGGCGGAAGCGCAGCCGGTGCTGAAGGAGGTAAAGGCTGAGCCTGTGGAAGTCATTGACCTGACTATAGAGTCGGATTCTGAAGAAGAGGGGGGCTCGGAGGCGGGGCAGGTGCGCGAGGTGCGCGACTTCGCTTGTATGGCATTCGAAAGGATGATATTGAAATAATTCTGTCCACGTACAGCCCGTGGTGTACGAGATAGATGATGATGAGGAAGAGGGTATGGCGGAGGACTCCCATTTGAATGCTGTGGATGAAGCCGGTCACTCCCCCTCGCCTGAGCGGACGCCTATCCATGTACCAGTCCCAACAACCGTAGAGGACGTACAGGCTCCGCCACACTCTGAGCGTGGAGCACAAGTCCCCCAATCACAGGAAGCCGCAGAGATTCTGGAAAACCAGGCATCCGCCAGTCGATCGTCTTCTGCGGCTGATAGCATTGCCTCTTCGTCCAACGACCGTCCAGCCGCGAGCGACGCTCCTACTGTGCCCAATCCCTTAGCTACGAATTCCAGTACGGACGGCCTCTTATCCAACGTCCGTACAAACGTGAGCGAAGCTCCACTGACAGCCAATTCCCCTGCTGCGAGACCAACTCCGTGTTCTAATATACGAGACTTCTCAGCTGAGAATCCCCAGCAGCTCTCTAACATGGAAGAATCTGTACCTTTTCCCGCACCTCCTACCCCAGCTACAAGACCAGATCACTCTGCTAGTATGCAGGACTCCTCGGCGAAGGAATCCATAAAGCCGTCTACCATGGAAGAACCCGTACCTGGCATCGCACCCCATGCGGCCGAACCCACCAACCCCCCTTCTCTCCACCAGTTCCGCGAGCGTCTACTCGACTTAGTCGTATTCAACGCCCAACGTCAAAATCCCGACGCGACGTTCAACTCGGCGCACGTGGAGTCACTCGTCAATGAGCACTGCCAGGACTTCGTGCGCAAAGCCAAGGTCGTGGCCCGCCAAGTAGGAAACAGGCAGAGGCGGCTTGACGCTGAGGAGTTCCGGGATATGGCATCCGCGGTGGTCACCATTGGCACCAAGAGGCCTCTCGAAGAATCGGGAGAAGAAGAAGAAGAGGAGCGTCCGAGGAAGAGGACGAACCGCACGGAAGACAGCGACGCCACACTCGTCGCGGTGGCAGCTCCGAAACCTCGTCCTGAGTCCCCCAAACCGAGGAACGAGACCACAGAAGTGGCAGCTCCGAACACCTCGTCTGCTATCGAAGAGGTGGTCCCAGCCCACACACCCGAACGATGGGTGCGTGCTCAGGCTGACATGGAGGATTATTACGATCCGAACTTGCCCTCACCTAATTTGGACGAGCCACAACCGTCCCAGACTGACAACCGATCGCGTTCGCCACCGTCTGAATTGCCAGTAGCCACAGTGGTTCCCACTAATCCTGACGTCCTGCAAACAGACCCCGATCCTACATATTACGAAACTCCAAGCCAGCCTTCACCAGTACCGCTAAGTATGATTAGTACGCCTCCACTCACGCCAGACGCGACCCCCATCGCTCCGCCTCCGCCCACATGCGGCGTCCCAGGACTCTGGTTTGTGAAACTAGGGGCACCACATTCAAGTGTGCTAGACTGTTCCTTCATCGTGCCGCCCGAGATTGCCGCCGCAGCGGCTCGGTGGGCTCGACGCCAAGACACATTCGAGTAAGTCGTTAACACGCCTCGGGGTGCTTGTGCGAACTTCTAATTATTTGCATCATCAGCCCGGACGCGTTCCACGTATCTGTACGCGTGCATTGCCTACCAAAGGCATTGGTGGAGGCCGTGCTACAACGAATGGGCCCGCAAGCCAGTGCCGAGGACATCACGAAGGTCATGGCAAGCGTCCCTACGGCGTGGCCAACGCCAGGGACACTCATTGTTGACGTCAACGTCGGGCGTGAGGGGGAACAGATGTGGTTTGCCGATAGTATGGTAGGTGCAGCTCACTGTGACTCAGTGCCATCTGAAATTGACACTTGCGATTCAGGGTGAGGGCAGTCCACCATTGGACGCTTCTCCATTTATTCAGCCGGGCGCGAATTACTTGCGGGTAGTACAGCTCGCGGACTTATCGGACCGCTTGTTTGTGGTGCATGCTGCGCCACCGTCTGCGGCTGAACTCGAGGCTGCGCGTGGTAAAGAAGAGCGCAAGAGCGTACTGCGCAAAGTAAATGAATGTCGGGGAATATCCTCGCCGGCATTTAGCTCTGGGACCTGTTTTGATGTTCAGGTTGTAGCTCGACATGCCGCAGTCGGAATTTCTGTATGAGGTCCGTATAGAAAGCTGTGTTGTAATCGTGGTATCATTATTCAGGGATTTGATCACGGCACTATTTAAACAAAGGTTCTGGTTTGTATAATGCGACTTCCCCTTGCTCGTGTCGTCCATACTGTATGCCCTCAGTGGAGATCCGTCCGTGATCACCTGCGGCCCATTGAATGTATCTTACCTTGCGAATCACTTTCTGGAGACATGGGACGCAAGAATGTGGCATTCTGAAGCACTTGAGCAAGCTTTACAGGCTTGAAGATAGATGCTAGTGCCTTGTAGTGCGTCGTCACCAGGAGGAATGCCCGTCTCGCCTGTGACATGCGGGTACCACCGGGGCTCGGGATGAAGCAGGAGCGGGAGCCAGGGGCGCGTACCATAAATCTGGCTATCCAACGTAGACGAGGACGTTGACACCTACAGCGAGGGCTAGCTATAGGCGAGGCGGACAACCTAGCTAGCTATAGCCCTTCCTGGCGGCGAGAGCCTGTCTCTGTCCCGATCGCGACGGGCTGCAGCTGCATAGGATGTCACATCTGTCCAATGAAGACTCCCGGCGGTATCTCAAGTGCCGTTCGGTAATGATCAAAAGCCGCGACAGCTTTAATAGCTCATATACACCAGGAGGCACAGCGTGAGAAGCGGGAAGGAGGTCAGTATGGTTCTTTATCTCACCTTGCCATACGAGCATACAAACCGAATCATGAGAATACGCACCAGCTGGATAGCAGCTGATAGTGAGAGCCATCGAGAGGGAGGCATTTGCCAGATCAAGGGAGTGCAGCTATTTTGGGGCTTAATACGGTTATAGGACCTGCGAGTGCTTGAGCAAGTTAGGCGCGGAGTCAGTTAAGCGAATGAACAGAATATATATTGCCTCACTGAATGACGAACTGTGAAAGGCAGGAGGCAGCGGTATCAAAACGACGCCGACTGAGTCCATCTGGATTGGGCTTCAATATGCCCGCTTTCTTGAACACAGCACATTCACAGAGAAGGGCACTCATATTGTAGATCTTTGGGCTCGATAATGCCCGTCTGCACGCAAGGTTTGCAGGGGGGAAAGGGTATGAAGGAGATAGTGTAGCTCACAGTGGGACCTATCGGTCTGGTAAAAAACGGGGCAAAGAATGACAACTTACGCACTTCCGAGCCAGCTAAGGTTCGCTGGGCTCCTGATGAACCGAGGACAACGAACCAAGTGCCACAATTGATGCACCATCAAAAGTGTGCAGCTCGAACGAAGATTACGACGACAATGGAAATCCGACTGCCTCGTTGGTCAACGTCGAAGGAGACAGTCTGCTCCGTTTGTCCATGATCTTCTTCCGCTTACTGCGTTTCGAGGCCAACTGCCCGCTGTATCGTGATGGTAGCAAGTGGTAGCAATACCGTCACCAGTGAAGGTAGAAACCCGGCCAGTCACGCCACACCGGCCTCGGGCACCCGACGTTTCTAGACGTTGAGAGCAGGGCCCCTGGTCGGGAATTGCCATGCCGGCCGACAGTGTCGGACACACCGATGGCCACACCAATGTCTTGCATTTCTATGTCGATCCTCCATCTTCCTGTGTATTCAGAAGAGACGCACATTGTTTCTTAGGCAATATGTCACATAAAGTCAAGGTACATAGGTACATTCTGTCACCCGATTAAACAGGACACTGGTACGATTCGGTTACACCTCTGCGGCGGCACCCTTGGCATTTCGGGACCTCGATTGCATAGTAACCGGGGCTGCGTACCTGGCCACCAACGATTTCCTGGCGAACTGGCTCATATGTCGGTGCTGACTGAACCCCGCGCTTCGTGGGTCTATTTGTTGATCATATGCTCGCGTCGTCCTCTTTATTCTTGGAAGTCCAATCGGTGCTGTCCAACTTGCTCTGGCTGTGCCTTTGTACCCAGACAAAGGATCAAAGAAGACATACCGAAGATTCTGACATACCGCGTCTACGCCTGACGCGCCTTCCCCTTTGTGCGGACAGTGCTCAATCCAGGCGGTCCCAGGCATCAATTATTCTGGCACTTGTCAACGTACCTGACGACCCGTCATCGGAGGTTGAAGATATCGCGGAATCAGTTCTCGAATACGTGGCGTAGCCACCATAGGCGTTGTGGGCGCCACTCCATAAGCCTCCATTACGTCGAACAATACGACCCAGTGCGAACGCTGTCGGACGACGTCGCAGGCCGATTCGTCCGCTTAGCACCAGTTCGTCGCGGTTCGCCCCCCCGCAGCGATTCTGGCATATGGCATGGAAGCTCGCTAGGTCTGTGGCACCGCTGGCAGAACCTACGCGAGTCTCGAATGTCGATCTTGGATCTCGTCATGTATCAGATCCAATCTCGTGTATTGTCCACAATCCCGAGCGTGGATATTCTTCCGCACTTAAAAGCCAGAGTGCCTCGCTGGCGGTCAGGACATTCGCCCGACTGGCATCTGGCACCCTCTCCTTCACTGACTTGACATCGCTGTTCTCTCTGTATAAAATATGAACTTCAGCCCCGTCCTCACCATCACCAAAATTGACCCCGACCACCAGGCCGAGTACAACACGCGTTACATCAACGCTCAGCTCGATGCGCTGCACAAAAATGCACAGAAGGCTATCGCACGCCTTGGTCCTCAGCTGAAGGTGGATGAGGTCGCTCGCGGTCAGGTTGCTCTCGCCGAATACTACTACTTGATTGGTGGTGGCACGACGACCGAGGATGCCACTGCCTTCTTCCGCTTCGACACCCCCGAGGTCGTCGAGTTCATCACCCCCTCGAAGCTCCGTCTGCGCCTGCGAGTAAACCAGGACAGCTACTACAACCCCGAGTACAAGCTGCTTCGGTCTGGGTAAGTGCCATTGTCATTTACGAAACCTTAACGTTTGTTAACGCATGCCACAGGCGGAATGTGTCGGTGGACTTTATTCATGTAGATTTGGACGTCAACTTTGAGTCTCGCCAAGCGGGTTATGTTCCCGGGGAGCAAGGTCTCCACACCATTAACGTCGTGATCCTCGATCTCTACGGCAAGTCGTTTGTTTGCTTCGCATGTTGCGCATTCTCATCCTTTCCCCTGCCTAGGCGCTTCTGTTGTTTCACCTCTTAACGAGCCCCTGCGGTTCTACTTCGCTCAGTACTTCAAGTATCTGCAGGACGAAGGCCACAACTTGTTGTACACGCTCCAGTACTTCAAGAAGACCTTCCCCCTTACCCCTCGTTCCCCCGCGGTCCGCGTCCCTACGCCCCTTCCCGAGCTGGACGTCCGCCCCATCAACTCTCGTCTGCGCCTTGCGTGGTTCAAGGCTTCTTTGGTTGCTTTAAACGCCTCCCGTTCGCACACAAAAGTCAACCCCGAGTGTATCTGCCTCTCGGAGTACTCCAACGAAGAATTCGACACCCGTCTGCATGTCAAGTTCGGTATCCCCGAGCTTTCGATCTCCAGCGGCAGCGTGTTCCTTCGTATCACTGTCACTGAGGGTGTTCTGTATGACAAGCGCGGCATCTCCTGGTATGCAGCATTTGGTGTCAAATGTTCCATTCACTAATCCTGCTACAGGAATGTCATCGACCGCATTGATGGCACCTTCACCATCAAGGTCGGCGTCCGCCCTCACCTCAATAACGAGCTCTTCTTCGCTCTCGAAGAGTTCAACTCGCGCCTCCTCAGCTGCTTCGACCCCGTCCTGCACCATCGCCGGGACCGCCTGGTCAACTTCCTCGAGAAGTATGCCATCATCTGCAACGACGTCATCCTGAAGGTCATGGCCGGCATCGACGACACCGTCCCGCACTTCGACTCCGAGATCTACGGTGGTATCGTCGCCAAGGACGTCAACCGCCTCGGGCTCATCAGCACTCCCCATGTGCACTCGTTCGATTACGTCCAGGTCCTCGACCGCTACTCCCTCATTCAACAGCTGCAAACTCTGCACCAGACGGACACCCGCGGGACCTACACCTGGACGCACCGCGCGCCTGACGGGCGCACGTTCCACGCGCACTTCGCGCCGCTCCGCATTCGCCTGCTGTCGGACAATAAGGCGCTGATCTGGGTTGTGCCTAAGGAGCTCAGTGGGTCTTCGCTGACCAGGTATGGGCCATCCAACCTCTCACCGCTTGCTTCGGAATTTGACCTTGACGACCTTGGCAGCCCCTTCGTGTTCAAGGACGTGTCACTGGCCTTTGAGGTGCCCCTCAAGACGTCCGACGAGGAGGTTTGGAGCAAGCTTTCTCCCACGTCTGCGTTCAAGTTCCACATCCCTGACACGATCCTCCATCACCTCTGCTTGGACCTCGACCGTGAGTCACTTACTATTGCCAATCGAGAATTTGTTCCAACTGTAACGCTTAGGTGCCGAGTTCGTCTTGGAGCTGTCGAACATCGGAGAGGTGCTGTCTTTCGCCAACGATGCGGACCTCCAGACCATTGGAGGTTACTTGAACGTCATCTGGAGCAACTTCTCCAAGCAGCTCGTCGAGAACGGCCAGCACATCCTCGTCACCACGCCCGTCTACAAGGCCAACGCGACTCCGGCAGACTACATCCTCACGACCGTCAAGGGCTTCACGTACTCCAAGGTAGATGTCAACCGCCACAACTTCGACAAGGTCCCCGCCAGCGTCGAGCCTACCCTCATCGTCGTCGGCATGTGCAACCACAGGCAGTTCCCCATCGACCCTGTGAAGGTCTTGTACGAGCTCGTCTTCGATGGCGCGAACAAGAACTCCCTGTACGTTTCGCGGAAGTGCTTCTTGGAGGACCACATCCTTCGTCTGTTCAGCCGCATCAACGATAAGCTTGCCAAGATCGCCTTCCCTGAAGCTGGCGGCAACCTCTGGACGCAGGCTCTCTCGACCCTCGTGGACGCTCCCGATGGCCGTACCCTCACGTTCAAGATCGACGCTGCCAACAACCTGTACTGCGAGTGGACGCTCCGCAAGCAGGAGAAGATCACGGAGACGTATGACATCTCTTGTAAGTCTCCGCGTCCCGGCTTTACCAGCAAATCTCATTGGTGTCTGCAGGCGAGATCGTGAACCAGCTCTTCATTGAGATCGGTACGCCCAACATCAAGATGGCCGGTACGATGAGCATCAAGAGCATTCCCAAGGACGGGGTCTCCCACAGGTAGACCCTAACTCATTGCCACGAATACATCGGAGACTGACAATCATGTCTCTCTAGTATGGAGGCCCGCGCCACCTGGTCGCCAAGCCTATACTTCCACATGGAGAACGGCTCCCTCCAGGTGCGGTGGGACGGCTCGCTGCCCAAAGTCTTCTCGTCGAACGACCCGCGCACGCGCGCGCTCGGCGAGGACCTCAAGCTCAAGGTCATCTCCAGCGTCAGCTTCGCCGAGTGGGAGGACGAGTTCCGCAAGGCGTTCACGGGCCCCTGGCAGACGGCCGTCCCGCGCGCGGGCAGCTTCACGCTCGCCTCGCCGGTGATGAACAGCAACGGCGATGTCGTCTTCGAGACCTACTACCACACCTCCCCCGTCGAGCCTGTCACGAACGGCACCACCGTCACCAACGGCAGCAGCATTCATGTGAGTCACCCTGTTCTGATGTCGATTACACGAAGGCTGACTAAGTCCATCCTTAGCTCTCTCCCGTCTTGACGAAGCACAACATCCTGAACGGCTCGGTGCGATCAGCTTATGCCTGATTCGCGGCCCAGCGGCCCAAGAGACGGCTCGGATCATTTCTTCGTCCGTTCAATAACTTAACTTTCGATCCTTGCATTCACCTGTGTCTCGTTCGCTTGTTTGGCGGTGTTCGCGGAGATCTCTTGGACTGCTGCAGCTATGACTTACCTACCATGAGAGTACAATCAGATATGGAATAATTTCTAGAGTAGCACACCTATGCAATACAGTATGCCTCGAGTCGCATTTGCAGACACAACTGGTGTGATTGACAGCTTGACATTACACTGTTCACTTTCGAGCTACCTGAGCTCACCTATCCCCTACTCTTAGCCGATTCAGCCCCCTGCAGCGATAAGTTGCACCAGAAACAGGTCATATTGTCCACCCAAGCGGAAGCTGTGTACGCGTAGTGTCCAGCTTTACAGGAGGCTCAGCTTCGTCACGCTTGCCCTGCTCACTTGCACGCGGCTCTTCCTTATCCCCCTCCTTTCTCCCCATTTCCTCTTCCCAAAACCAATTCGGCAAGAAGCCTACCCTCTCCTCCCCTCCTTCCACATCCCTCACGCCCTCCTCGTCCAGTAGCCGCACGCTCACGCCCTTCCCCGGCGTGAATCGCACCCGCCACACCCTTTTATTCTCTTCAGGCGTGTTAGGGTCCGTTTGGACGGTGCTCTTGAGGAACGTGAGGAACCGTCGCCCCCAGTCGAGGCAGAGCTGCGGGTCCCACGCGCCTGGCTTGCCGCGCACGAGGCGCGGGAGTTGGACCGTCTTGAAGGTCTGTATTGTCGTTAGGCGGCCGGAGGGTGTGCGGAAGCCGACGATGATTTCCTGCGGAGAAGTGGTGTTATTATAGGAATGAGGGGGTGATGGTCCGAAGACCTTACAGGCACCCCGAGGAGGAAGGACTGGAAGTAGAATTTGAGCAGTTTCCTGAGGAGATCACGGTTAGGCGCGGGCGGGCATGATGAAGTATATTCGACGTACTTCTCAAAGCGGGCTTCGTCCCGTTGGTCCCTGATGGCTAGGGACGTCTTGAGCTCCACGAAGGCGTCATGCTTGCCATCCTTCCTACCTATATTGTTCTGCGTTAGCTTACTGCAACCTCACGCTGGAAAACAAAGCAGACCCCGTATGCAATCTACTTCCCCGCCGATGACCATCCGGACGTCGCCCAATTTCGTTTTGATGACGTTGCACCACTGGACGTTGGTGTCGACGTCCCCGCCCCAGCCCGCTCGGTGTCCTGGTAATGACTCCGGCCGGTCGGGACTCGAGGATGTGCACCAGGACTCGAAGGCGTAGCCGTAGTAGGTTTGCATTCGCTGGCGGGGGTTCATGTCATCCCTGCGTAAGAACAACTTCAGGGAGATGTATCATAACCATAGATGTTATATGCTTACTTCTCCTTTAACCGCGCATCCGAGGAATGTTCTTCAAGATACAGGGTTCCGTTCACGCACATGACGTTCAGATCCCAGCTGTCCCGCTCTTCATACGGCGCTGTCAATATTCTCCCTCCCGCCGCTATCAGTGCCTTACACTTTGTACTTCTGCTCTTGAACACTCACTTGGTCATGACGCCCCTCCACGAGACCAACCCAATCCCCGGCATGCGTGCTTTCGACCATGCCCTGAGCAAGCTATCGATGCGCCCGCGCTCCTCCGGTTTCTTTACCCACCGCTCGTACCCATACGACAGCTCTGCTCCGGGCGGGGGGTCGACGTAGTACTTCATCGCCGAGTCATCCCAGACGAGCTCGCGGGAGGGTGTGTACGAGAAGGTCAACAGTGATGTGGGTTGTTGGATTGGGACTGGGGATATCTTGGGTGGTATACTCGTAGATGGGTAGGAAAGCGTGCTCTCTAGCGGTGTGGAGGTCTCATCTTTGCGTAGCCTCTTGGTAAGCGGTTGGCCGTCCTCCTCTGGTGCGCTCCGTTTCGACATGGGTAAGACGTGAATCTGGGACAAGCTCATGGTCATTTCGAACACATTCCTCTAAGTAGAATGAAGACACACGTAGCACAGTTGACTATAACAATGTACAAACCTCCGAAAGGGCCTTTGCAACATAGAAATGCCGCCTTACACACCTCCCCGTGGCTCACGTTCAGCGATCAGGGCAAGTCCGTGAATACCACTAGACAGCACACGTTTCTGAATAAATATCGGCAGGATACGCTGGAAGAACGGCCTTACCGTGAAACAGAAGCGTGGACAAGGCTGAAGGAGAGTCACAGAAACTAAGCGGGCGAAGCGAAGTTTAATCTGCACCATCTACTTGAGGCTGCATAGGCCTGCTCAAACGTTTATTGCAGGTAAACGCTCGAGAACCTACCGCTGATTGCTTATTCCATTATTGTGATTCTAATCCTGCTAGTCACTAGGGCTAGGACTCTTGGATCCTATAAGGGTACCGAAAAAATGACGGACAATACTGCTACTGGTAGTCCGAGTTCATACACAGGCGAGTCCAGTCCTTTACTATACATCGAGGGGCAAAATAACCGAAGATTAGCCCCCTAACATTGCCCATTCTTTAGGTTGGGCACCGTCCGAGCCCAAGGCGACTTTGGACCGCCTTTCCCCCAGCATACCTCCCTCGGACTTCCTATCGTCCCATGTTCTCAAACGCAAGCCAGCGGTATTCACCTCACACTTAACAGACGCATCATGGAGCGCCTCGCAGCATTGGACAGATCTTGAATATCTGAGATCGAAGGCCGGCGAGGTCGAAGTCAAAGTGGAAAGGCTCGACACACGGACCGGTGGGTTTGGGAGCGGCCTGCCACGCATCAAAATGCCGTTCGGTGAGTTCTTGGAGAAGCTGCAGAGTGGGTGCGAAATGTACTTGACGACGCAGTACGATGACGAGGAGGAGGGGGAAGGAAGTGGAGAGGAGACCCTGCCTGAGCCGTTCACATGCCCGCCGCCGTGTAAATGCCTGAAGGACGACTTCCCCCTCCGCCCGAGTCTCCTGCACTCGCTTGTCCCGCACCAAGTTAACCTGTGGCTGGGCCGCTCCCAGCCCCCGCCTTCCTCAGGGTCCCAAAACCGCCGTGCAACTCAAGGCGAGATCGACTGGACGCAGTCGCGATCGTCGGGCTTGCACCATGACCACCATGATAACCTGTACGTCCTCCTCGCCGGGTACAAGCGCTTCGTCCTCTTCCCGCCCTCCGCGCACCCGCACCTATTCTTCTACGGCTCTGATGCTCAGGTACACGAGAACGGCGTAGTCAGCTACGAAGGTGCGATGGGCAGCGACGCATTAAGTGAGCGCGAGCGCTGGGGCTGGGAAGTGAGGCGGCTGCAAGGTGTAGTCGCAGGACTGAAGAAACAGAGGAAGAAGGAGAAGGCTGCTGAGAAGGCGAAAGGGGCGTTGGGTGGTAAGTTCAAATTGAAGGGAATCGGGAAGAAGAAGACGCCGCTCGAGGAGGAACTCGAGGCAGCTGAGTCCGCGCTGGTGGACGCGGAGGACAAGTACCTCGACGCGATCGGTGATGAGGGCTTGGAGTTCGGTGGGGAAGGGATGCGGGACGACTTTGATGCGCTGGGGGACATGCTCGGTGGCGACGAGGTTGCAGCAGACGGAAACGTAGACAATATGGACGACACTAGCAGCGTCGCGGACACCGCGTCCGTAGCCGGGAGTATCAAGGGCAAAGGCAAAGCGCGCGCAGATGGCAACAGCGAGCCGCTATCCTTCTCGCGCATCCCTGCGTCGGCCCTGCACGCGCAGCTCGGGCTCCCTTCTGGCTCGAATGCAGCAGAAGACGGAGCTGGTTCTGATGTCGGCATGGGCTTGAAATCCCTGAACCCGATCGTGGTGTATCTCAAGCCGGGCGAAATGCTCTACCTTCCCGCGAGCTGGATTCACGAGGTGTCCTCTGCCTCCTTGCCCTCCCCCTCACCAGCGGCCGAGGCCGAGTCTGTTTCAAACGGGAAAAGGCCGAGGGGCGAGGGTGCGCTGCCCGACGTGCATATGGCGTTTAATTATTGGTTCTACCCGCCCGATCAGGAGACGGGGGAGGGAGGGGAAGGCGTCTACAAAATGCAGCCGCTGTTCGATCATCTCGGGGGTGTTATTGAGAGGAAATGGAAGGATGACGGTGCGCGAGATGGAGAGAAAGAAGAGTCCGGGACGAAGGGGTCCAAGAGGGTGAAGGTTTCATACTGCGAAAGCGAACCTTGCGGATTGCGGTAGTACACATGGAACGTGCGTGCTCGAATGTCAACAATGAAATATTGTACTACTGTGGCAACCGCGCCAGTCAGGTTACAGGCCCAAGGAATGGATATCCAGCGATTCATCTAAGGAGATCAATGCGAGCACGTTCTGCACAAAGAATTCACAACCGAAAAGCATGTGCATCGGGCAAAGGCACGTCCGTCAAAGATGACCTATGCAGATCTAAAACATGAAGTGAATCGTCGTCTTAACAGATTTTTAGTCATATTCTCGCCACAATTTCCAAGTAGCGATTCTTGCTATGACTGGTTCAACATGAATAGTATTTATATATGCGAATCCTACCGTCCACTGGCGCGTAAACAATACAACCAGCATGGTGTGCCCATAAATTTGGCCTCCGCAGTTCAAGCAGCTCGTACGTTGATTCCAGTCGAGTCGCAGCTTGATCGATGCAAGCAGAAGAATCATGTCTGCTCTAAATGTTGTGCGCGAGAGCTGGACGTAGCTGTTTTGCGGCTCTTCCCAAAGAGGCGGGTCTTGTCTTCCCTGCGAGATGCTTTCCGGTTCTCTCGATGAGCATACACAACTGGGACACCTCAAGGGTGTCTATCCCTATCCCCCCCCCCCCCCCCCCCCCCCCCCC